AACTGGCCTGACTCATTAAGGCACAAGAACGCAGACACTATGTTGAATATCATAACTAGTAAAGTGATCCATTTGATCGATAAATAATACCCAAGACCAAACCCAGTGCCTCTAGGAATACGAGGGGATCCCTACACATGAACCATGCGGCTGTCGACAGAGTTAAGATGAAAACCCAGAAATTCAAGACGTGGGTTGGGTCAAAGGATGAGCAGGACAGGAGGATGTATGCAAGATCCAGAAACCAAACAAAGATAGAGTGTAGAAGGGCTGAAAAGGAGTTCCAGAGGCTGATTGCAAGCGAGGTCAAGTCAAACCCAAAGGCGTTTTACCGCTATGCAAAGTCGAAATTGTAAACGCGAGTAGGAGTATCAGACCTGAGGCTTGAAGATGGTAGTTACGCAGATTCTGACCAGGACAAAGCTAAGGCATTGAACAGCTTCTTTTCCTCGGTGTTCACAAGAGAGGATGCAATTAACCTTCCTGCGTTTGAGGACAGACGGTTTGACAGAGCACTGACCCACATTGTGTTCACAGAAGAGGGTATTAGAAATAAACTGTCCAGGCTAAAGGGCCACAAGAGTCCCAGCCCTGACATGGTGCATCCTAGAGTGCTAAGAAAGTTGTGCAACAAGCTTGCCGAGCCCCTGAAGATCCTGTTTTGTAAATGTCTGGATGAACAAACGGTCCCCAGTGAATGGAAAGTGGCTTATGTGAGTCCTAACTATAGACCGGTGAGCCTGACCAGCATAATATGTAAAGTACTTGAGAGTATTATCAGAGATGCCGCAATGGAACATCTAATACGAAACAATCTTGTAAAGGATTGCCAACACGGTTTTATGCCGGGGCACTCCTGCTTAACACAATTGCTCAAGGTATTGGATATTTGGACCCATATTCTGGAACGGGGTGGTAATATCGACAATATTTAATATTTTGCCAAGGCTTTCGCCAGTGTACCCCATAAAAGGCTGAAAATCAAACTGGAAGGGTACGGAATTCGGGGAAATGTCCTAGCGTAGATAGAAGACTTTCTACATAACTGTAAGCAGTGTGTGGTGATTAATGGCACGAAATCATCATCCGTACTTGTCACAAGTGGGTTACCACAGGGCGGTGTATTGGGCTCGCTGTTGTTTGTTTGTTTCATAAATGACATGCCTGACGTTGTACACTCCTCCATACAAATGTTTGCCGATAACGACAAGCGGACTGTGAAGGGCTGCAGAAGGACCTCTGTGGGCACCAAGAATGGTCGAAGGAATGGCTGTTGAGATTCAATGTCACGAAGCGTAAGAGGATGCACCTGGGGCGTACCAACGGTAAGGAGGCGTATCATATGTCCCAACGGGATGAAGAAACTGCACTAGTTGAGACTGAATGTGAGAAGGACCTAGGTGCGTATGTTGACAATGAGCTGAAGTTCTCGGGCCATTGCGAGAAGAAAGGTAAATCTGGCAAATAAATTATTGGGTCTTATAAGAAGGTCGTTCAGATATCTAGACGGTCCGCCCCTCGTAACGATCTGCAAGAGTGAAGTGCTTCCCCTTCTGGAGTACTGTCATCCCGTCTGGTCCCCGAGATATGGTAGGGAGTGTCAGTTGGTTGAAAATGTTCAAAGGCAGGTGCCTGCACTTCGGCACCTCAGCTACCCTGAGAGATTGGAGCGCCTGAACTTGCCTAGCTTATACTACGGATGGGCAAGCGGTGACCTAATTGAGGTGTATAAGCATCTCAAGGGGCACTACTCAATCGAGTGTCCTTACTTGGAGCTGGCGGACGCTCACCCCACAAAGGGTCTCAGCTCAAGATTGAAGAAGCAGCAAGTCCAGAAAACTGTGAGGGCAAACTTTTTCGTGAGCGTTTTAAACTCTTGGAACAATGTACCAGAAAGTGTTGCTGAGGGATCGGCTATTTTCACACTTCATTTTTCCAGCATTCGCGGACTGTGATCCAATTTTTCTTCTGTGGAGCAGCATCTATCAACCTCTTCCCCCGACCTCTTACTACTCTCCGTACTTCAACTGACCAAAGCAGCGTCACCCAAACCTTTTCAAGTCTCTAACTACAACTTTTATACCTACTTCCGTTCTAAGGGAGGTGTATGAGCCTACTGCAACACACGTACACCCACAGCCCGACTCACGGATCTTGAATCTCCCCTTTATGATGTCATCTGGCTCAAAATATCTCTACCTACTGTGACTATTTTTCTTTGTTTCCTATACTGTTCTCCCAACTCTACCAACTATTTCGAACTCTTTGACTATCTCACTTATTGCCACGGGTCGTTGCTATCCACACACCCCAACACCGAGATCCTCTACCTAGGGGATTTCAATGTACATCACAGAGAGTGGCTTGGCTCTGCAAGGGATGACCCAGGTGGAGCTGAGGTACTCTCTTTTTCCTTACCTAATGATTTAGAACAAATAATCAAACACCTTACACGCGTTCCTAATCGACACGATCAACTTGCTAACATTCTTGATCTTTGTTTTACCTCTAACCCCTCACACTATTCATACTCAATTTTTGCCCCCTTAGGGTCTTCTGATCACAACCTTATTTCTATTAAATCAAACTGGGCACGACCACCTCCCCCACCCCCCTCTAAACGTCAACTATGGCACTATCGGAGGGCAAGCTGGCAATCCTTGCGAGAATTCTTCACCGACTTTCCCTGGGATGAATGTTGCTTTTCCACTCGGGACGCCTCGGTATGTGCTGACAGCATTGTTGGGGTTATACAGGGCGGTATGAGTGCATTTATCCCATCTTCTACCAAAACTTTCACATTACAATCATGGTTTGATTGCTCCGGCTCTCTTGTTTGCAGGGTGAGAGATAGGGCATATCGAGCTATGAAACTATCTCCTCCTATTACCCACACCTCTTCCATTACTTTTAGGAATCGTTGTAAGGCTGTTCTTCGTAGGGCCAAGCGGAATTTTATTAAAAGAAAGACAGCTGTCCTGACTAATTCTTCCTCTAGTAAATCCTTTTGGTCTTTAACTAAAAACATCTGTAACAACTTCTGCACGCCTTCTTTTCCTCCCTTCTTCCGTCCCAATAACTTTATAGCCAACTCTCCCCCTAACAAAGCCAACCTCTTTGGCACCTTATTCTCCTCTAATTCCACCTTAGACGATTACCACTGTATCCCTCCTATCCCTGCACCTCCTACTGAACCTATGCACTTTCCTATAATCTCCACTCGCAGGGTTGCCGGTGTGTTATCCAGGTTGGATGTGAGTAAGGGGCATGGACCGGACGGAATACCCCCTCGTGTTCTGAGGGAGTGTGCTGAAGCCCTGGCCCCTGTGCTTGCTCGCCTCTTTCGCCTTTGCCTCAAAACCCAAACTTTTCCTTCTTCTTGGAAGCATGCCTCGGTTCATCCCATCCCGAAGAAGGGTGACCATTCTAATCCCTCTATCTATCGCCCCATTGCCCTAACTTCATCCCTCTCTAAGATTTTCGAAACTATCTTGAACTCCCATTTTCTTCGTCACCTTGAACGCCTTTCTCTTTTGTTGGATCACCAGTATGGCTTTCGTCAGGCGAGATCTACTGGTGATCTGCTCTCCTACTGCACCCATCTTTGGTCATCCTCTCTTAGGGATTATGGGGAATTTTTTGTCGTGGCTCTCGACATCTCCAAAGCATTTGACAGGGTATGGCACAAGTCCTTGCTATCTAAACTTCTCTCTTTTGGTTTCTCTCCCCCACTTTGTTTTCTCATCTCTAGCTTCCTTGAGAACCGATCCATGGCCGTTGTTGTCGAGGGATCGATTTCTCGCTCTTTCTCTATCAGTAGTGGCGTCCCACAGGGTTCTGTTCTTTCACCAACTCTCTTCCTTCTTTTTATCAGTGATTTACTTCACACTACAACTCTTACGCTGATGATTCTACTCTTCACTCTTCCTCACATTTTCCCCTTCCTCCTAACTCTCAAACTAGATCTGTTTCTAGAACTAATATCATTACTTCTATCAACGCGGATCTGTGCAGCATCTCTGAATGGGGAGGTACAAACTTGGTTAAGTTCAATAGTAATAAAACTCAATATTTACCAATTACACTTTGTAAAATAGACGATCTCCCACCAATTACATTTCAGGACGCTATCATCCTCCCAAATTCTGAAATAAATATGTTAGGCCTCACCATTTCCTCCAATATGTCCTGGTAATCACACATCCTTAGTATAACTAAACTTGCCTCCCGAAAGTTGGGAATGCTGTACAGATGCCGCAGGTACTTCACTCCTGAGCAGCTACTCCAAGTATATAAGGGATTCATTCGTCCTAACTTGGATTACTCCTCTCATATCTGAGGTGGCTCTTCTTCTGTCCAACTATTAAATAGGGTGGATCAAAGGCATTTCGTCTTATTAATTCTCCTCCTTTAGTCGACAATCTCTCTTCCCTTTCTCTTCGCCGCAATGTTGCTTCACTCTCTCTCTTTTACAGTTACTTTAACGGGTAATGTTCGGTGGATTTGGCATCCTGTGTATCGCCGGCAAGGCCGTGGGTTCGTAACACACATCTTGCCCGCGGTGCCCACCGTTTCTCTGTGGATGTCGGTCACACGATAATAACCCGCTATAGTACCTCCTTCTTTCCTCACACAGCCAAACTGTGGAATGCTCTGCCTTCCTCAGTGTTTCCATGCTCTTACAATTTGTCTCACTTTAAAAAGCTGGTTTTCCGGCATCTTCGTGGTGTAAATTAATACAGTATAACTTTATTTTTCTATATTTACAATTTCTTTCCGTTCTTTTTTTTTTCGCCCCCCAGGCTCCGTTGTGGGTCGTTTGACCTGTGCCCGGGTGGGCTAATTCCCCTAAGAAAGAAAAAAAAGACGACCTACACTGGAGCGGGTTCAGATACATTCAGGAGCCGGTGCATGCCCAATACTTGCCAACAGTGCGTAACAGAGACGTGAAGAGGATAAAAGAAAATGAAAAGTAATCAGAGACGTGACCGATCGCCTAAGTAGCTAACGAGCCGATCAATGGTGAAGAGGATAAAAGTAAAAGAGAGCTACTTAACTTTCAGTACCGGGACTCAAGATACCTCACTCACCAAGAGAGACTAGAATGTCTGCTTTATATGTTGGGCATCTGTATAATTAAATATTCCATACTTGCCCCAAATTTATACGATTTTTATAAATCTCTTCAGCTTTTGAATAGAGCAGACGTAACACATAAACCTCGGGGCTACCAACTAATTCAGGTTTTACGGTGTTATAAAAGTCTTTATTTTATTGGTACACGAGCATGTTCTGGTCTAGCTAATTTTACAGTTTCAAGTAAAAGCTCAGGAAACCACAAAAAAGTTAGATCACTATATGCCAATAAAAGTTTTAAGCTGTTTTAGCAGCTATCTTAATTCCACATCCATTCTCCTGTTTACTTGGTAGGTAGTGAGTAAATGACCGTCAGGGAATATTAACTAAACTCGACAAAATATTACAGAGGATTATTTCACAGTCTTCTTCGTTTTATACATAATCATGTGGAAATACATGAGTCTGCAGCAACGAGGCTAATAAACGCCCAGAGTAAGAACATAGAAGCATGTGGCTTCTCATTCTCCCATTACACCATGTACAATACTACACATGTCAACTTATTTTTGCGTCAGTTTCTCGATAATTTTAAGAACTGGGAGCTCTAGGAATAACCAACTGTGAGCTCCACATATGACCAGACACACGACCAGCTAATAGGCTGTGGTAGCCGGTGTCAGTGGCGAAGAGGACAAATATTGATAGTATTGACAATGTTCTTGTGTACCACATGCCTAACACATTCTAACTTTGGTAAGAAGTAACATAATATATAATGGATATATATAATAAAATAAAGGCAGCATATAAACATACACATATATAACAACATGGCCACACGCGGGAAATAATATACCGTAACCAAACACCCTCATTTAATGTTAGGGTGTTTAGTCATCGGGTGAAATAAGCAGTGGTTCTTTATTATGAGATCGTGCGCGTGCCTCTGATTATTGTGTCCCGGGTTCAAATCCCCAAGCCAGATATAGGAAGGGTATTATCGTGATAATACCAAACACCATTACCAAATTTTCTCTGGGTAGTCCGGTTTCTTCCTATACTAACGCTAGACATTGCAGGGGGTTGATTTAAGGGGTGGAATAAAATCAAATTTCATCTTGCTCCATTTTATCGCTGTTATGTTAGTGGCGTTGATATTCAAATGCTTCATTAACGTAGAAACTAAAGCCATCACTGAATTAAGGTATCCGTTTTAATGTCTGGGATCATCATTTTCACCCTGCAAAGTTATATGACTGGATCATCCGATGAGTTAAGTGAAACAGATAAAAGTGACTAGTTTTGATGAGACAGATTTTAATTAGAAATAATAAATTTTAGGAATGTAAAGAATCCCTCAAAACTCTCAAATCTCGAACTTCATTTAAATTAAACGTAAAATAGATGGCTTTGAAGGATTATAGCCAGGGGTCAACCGGTCAAGGTTACGGTCATTTCTGGAAATGTTCGCACCTTGTATATCATATTCATTCCCTCTGCATATCTGTTCTTTCTCTGGTTCATTTTTCGTAGTGCCAAGTACTACAAGAATACATGAGAATATGCTGACATGAGTATCTGGCAACAGTGAGCAACGAGGAGGGCTCGCCTGAACCCTAGTGAGTTGTGAAACTCGGGACTGGGAGAGTGGGGGATCCGAGTCAAAAACTTCTGAGTCCTGACCCAATCTAATCAGTCTCCGGTTGTCCTTGCTACTGCGAAGACGTGGGAATTTTTCTCAACAGTTTATTTATTTTTTTTATCCCACACGGGTGGCCACTCATTGGAGCGTCACGGTAGGTTGTATTTGGCTTATTTCACCGTTGTAGTGCAGTACCTGTATGTGTTTTAATTTTAAACAGGTGCAGGGCTGAAATTGTGAAACAATTATGTAACTAATGTGGTATTCACATTCAGCCAAAAGCTCAGTGGTTAGTGTTGGTTCGTATTAATGTATACCCGCATTTGGCAAATAATTGAATCTCATCATTCATAATTTTTCTTTTGTCGTATTGTAATACTGGTAAAATGTAGGCTATGCACTATATGGTTGAATATAAGGTTGCGACCACGGACTGGAATGACAAATTAAGGCCTCTAAACTAATTTTTCTTCTATATGGTGTTTCAATTAAGTTTTCTAGTTGGTCTCGGTGTAATACTGATGTTATTTTGGTAATATTTTTCTTTGTTATAAGCGTCTTCTTTACTTCATTTTCAGTTACAAGGAAAATACGACGTATGGACTTTACAGAAATTTCTTTGACAGTTACAGAAATTTCTTTTGACAGTTTCAGAATGCGTATTTGCACTAAAAAGTCTAAAAAAAAAAAATACTAGCTTATATAAGTTGAGGATACGAGAAAGTTTTGTTGTGTAATATTTCTCTACTTTCTTGCCGTTTTCTACATTTTTCTAATTAGGTTAATGTTCCCCTTGATCTCCGCAGACAAGTAAAAAAATTGATCAAAGGTAGATAACTAGAAACAGATATCCCAAATAATCTAACGTATTCGTAGGTTGCAGTGGTGGTGATCATCGACCAGGATGTTGCTGATAGCTCTAGTGGTGTTGCTACTTGCTCGCTTTACCTACCGCGCGTACTCTGGAAGGTGCACCAGCAAAAGGACCCTCCGAGGCTTTACTGCCATCGTCACCGGCGGCTCTGCAGGTTCCTAAAATTTATCCATTTTGTTCATGTTTCCATTGTGTGTCTTGACTGTTTAGTTGATGCTCATTGTTTTAGATATAGTATACGTTTGTTCAATATTTGTTGTCCTCCCTCAGGTATTGGGAAGGAGGCAGCACGGGACCTAGCGGGGCGCGGAGCTCGTGTTATTCTTGCTTGTAGAAACCAGGTGAAGGCACAGATGGTGGCAGGTGGGTGTAGATGTCAAATGAGTGAAAGAACGTAGGTGGTTACAGTCCAGTGTAACCCATAGTAAGATTTACTTAACATTTAATAAGAAAAGTTTTAATTATTATTACAATAAAATAAAATAGAGGTTTGTACAGTACTGTACTGTACTTGGCAGACTTACCTGGGTAGTAAAGGCAATGCTGACTAAAAACAAACATATCTAACAGATGAAATCATGAGCGCCACAGGCAACAAGGAGGTGCTGGTGAGGAAGCTTGACACGGCAGACCTACAGTCAGTCAGAAGTTTCGCACAGGGGATTCTAGAGACGGAGGAAGCCCTCCACATCTTGGTGAGGACACCTCAGTTAAGAATACTTGAGTTTTCCGTTACTTTATGATATTTCGTAAATTATTTATAACGAGTACTGTACAGTATTTTTATTCCTATATCATACTGTACTGTACAACTTTTGTTCCAAAAAATAGCTGTACCTGGGCTTGGTAGATATACCTGTAGGTCTTGTGAATTATTTAGCAATAAAAGAAACTAAAATCTCAAAAGCCTTGATGAATATTTTTTTTATATGGGGAAAATAATGCCACAGTTCTAATTAAAAATAATGTGTCTGTCTCAGCCAGGGGTTTGGTAGTGGATTTAAAGTTCAAGTGCAGCAAATTTTTGTGGCCAGTTAATACCTAACAGAACCTGACCTTACCACCAATTAATTTAATTTTTCTTTGAGGTCGCAATTCATTTTGATTGTCACAGTGTTTTCCGTTTGATGTACAACTGTGATAATGCTTCACATGACACAATGCCAATGCAGATATAAAAAGCCAGATGTGTGTGTGTTTGTGTTTCAGGTGAATAACGCAGGTATGTATGGTACTGAGGAGCGGGAAGTGTCACCTGATGGACTGGAGATAACCATGGCTACCAACTACTACGGCCACTTCCTCCTTACCAACCTCCTCCTCGGTCAGTATCACACACCTCCTCTTCCTCCTCAGTCAGTATCACACATACCTCCTTCTCTGCCTCCTCAGTCAGTATCACACATACCTCCTTCTCTTCCTCCTCAGTCAGTATCACACACTCCTTCTCTTCCTCCTCAGTGAGTATCACACTCTTCCTCCTCAGTCAGTATCACACCCTTCCTCCTCAGTGAGTATCACACCCTTCCTCCTCAGTCAGAATCACACCCTTCCTCCTCAGTCAGTATCACACTCTTCCTCCTCAGTCAGAATCACACCCTTCCTCCTCAGTCAGTATCACACTCATCCTCCTCAGTCAGTATCACACACTCCTTCTCTTCCTCCTCAGTCAGTATCACACCCTTCCTCCTCAGTCAGTATCACACCCTCTCCTTCCACTCTTCCTCCACAGTCAGTATCACACCTTTCCTCCTCAGTCAGTATCACACCCTTCCTCCTCCTCAGTCAGTATCACACCCTTCCTCCTCAGTCATCACACCTTCCTCCTCAGTCAGTATCACACCCTTCCTCCTCAGTCAGTATCACACTCTTCCTCCTCCAGTAGAATCACACCCTTCCTCCTCAGTCAGTATCACACTCTTCCTCCTCAGTCAGAATCACAACCTTCCTCCTCAGTCAGTATCACACTCTTCCTCTTCATTCAGAATCACACCCTTCCTCCTCAGTCAGTATCACACTCTTCCTCCTCAGTCAGTATCACACCCTTCCTCCTCAGTCAGTATCACACTCTTCCTCCTCAGTCAGTATCACACCCTTCCTCCTCAGTCAGTATCACACTCTTCCTCCTCAGTCAGTATCACACCCTTCCTCCTCAGTCAGTATCACACTCTTCCTCCTCAGTCAGTATCACACCCTTCCTCCTCAGTCAGTATCACACCCTTCCTCCTCAGTCAGTATATCACACTCTTCCTCCTCAGTCAGATCACACCCTTCCTCCTCAGTCAGTATCACACTCTTCCTCCTCAGTCAGTATCACACCCTTCCTCCTCAGTCAGTATCACACTCTTCCTCCTCAGTCAGAATCACACCCTTCCTCCTCAGTCAGAATCACACCCTTCCTCCTCAGTCAGAATCACACCCTTCCTCCTCAGTCAGTATCACACTCTTCCTCCTCAGTCAGATCACACTCTTCCTCCTCAGTCAGTATCACACTCTTCCTCCTCAGTCAGAATCACACCCTTCCTCCTCAGTCAGAATCACACCCTTCCTCCTCAGTCAGAATCACACCCTTCCTCCTCAGTCAGTATCACACTCTTCCTCCTCAGTCAGTATCACACCCTTCCTCCTCTTACATAAAGTTTTTGCTCAGGTCTTGCCTGGGTTTATAGTATTTGTAAGGGGCAAGTACTCAGGGTTTCATAGTTACTCAACACATTCAATCAGGATTGCCATAAATGTTGGTGAATTTCTTAGTGAAGAATAAGTTTCTATTTAGTGCTGAAAAAAAATGTACAGTACAGTAGTTTGTTTCATATATCAAACTCCAAGAAGAATCTGTGTCACTTATTCTACAGAAGGCCACCAGTTTATCAGACATAAGGTTTTCAAGTATCTTGCAATATAAAGCAAAAATGTTTTGTATGTGCCACTTGTAATACTGTTTTTACTTTGCTAGCCTCTATTCATATTCAGGTTGACATGTGTAAGGAGTGGTGGGTGGAAGAGTGATACTGTATATGACAAAAGTGTTCTCTTACCAGCAGAGCTCCTCAAGAAGAGCGCTCCCAGCCGCATCATCAATGTGTCTTCAGCTGCTCATTTGTTCACCAGGAATATTAACATCAAAGATCTTAACTTCGAGAAGAAATCTTATGGCGCCTTTTCAGCATATTCCCAGAGCAAACTGTGCAACATTTTGTTTAGCCTCGAGCTGTCCAAGAAACTACGTGGCTCAGGTAGTGTGGTTAAGAATCAGTAACTTATTTCTACATGAGAACAAAGACAAGTGACTTACCAAAGGGATAATGAGTGGCTCAGGTAATATTCAAGAAGTGGTAGATAACAACTAGCAGTTATTACAGTATTATTGTCTGTAATAAAGGTGATAATTCATAAAACGATACAGTATATGTACTGTACAGTGGTCCCTTGGTTAACGAGCACAATCCGTTCCAGCAGGTTGCTCGTTAACCGAAACCATTGTTTCAATGGGTTTTTGGGTAATTGGTTCCAGCTCACCGAAAATTGCCTAAATTCAACAAAAAAGGTAGAAAAGTACATTTACTTTGAGGTGTGTATGTAGAAGGCTCCTGGATGATGATGATGATGGGAATTAGAATGGGGGTGGAGGAGAAGGGAGAAGAGAAGGCATTGGGGTGGAAGAGAAGTCACCCCATGGTGCTATTTCACCCATAAAATTTTAGTTCTCTTGGTGTAATTCAAGATTATTTTCTTTAAATCAACACTGCACTGCATTATATATTGTCAATATGTAAAATAAATTTCAAAATGGCCAATAATTTGCTTGGAAACACAGAAAAAAAGCGTTTAGTTGAAGAGAGTCTCAAGCAATATGTTATGTCCACTGAAAAGAGAGAGAGACTAACGCCTGTTTGTGTGTTAACAGGCTGGATGGCGTGCCAGAAACTAGTTTATTTACCTTCAATTACGTTTACTTTTATCCTCTTCGCCACTGATCGGCTCGCTAGCCACCCGGGCGATCGGTCACGTCTCTGTCACGCACTGTTGGCAAATACTGGGCATGCACCGGCTCCTGAATGTACCTGAACCCGCTCCAGTGTTGGTCAAGTCTTGTCTTGAAAGAGCTCACACTCGGTGCCGTCACAACACTCTCTGGTAGATTGTTCCAAGAGTTTACAACCCTCACTCCGAAAAAGTTTGCCTTCACGGTTTTCTGGACTTGCGGCTTCTTCAATCTTGAGCTGTGACCCCTTGTGGGGCGAGCTTCCGCCAGCTCCAAGTAAGGACACTCAACTGAGTAGTGCCCCCTGAGATGCTTATACACCTCAACTAGGTCCCCCCTTGCCCGTCTGTAGTATAAGCTAGGCAAGTTCAGGCGCTCCAATCTCTCAGGGTAGCTGAGGTGCTGAAGTGCAGGCACCAGTCTGGTGGCCCTCCTTTGAACATTTTCAACCAACTGACAGTCCCTAGCATATCTCGGGGACCAGATGGGGTGACAGTACTCCAGATGGGGAAGCACTTCACTCCTGAAGATCGTTACGAGGGTCGGACCGTCTAGATATCTGAACGACCTTCTTATAAGGCCCAATAATTTATTTGCCTGATTTACCTTCTTCTCACAATGGCCCGAGAACTTCAGCTCATTGTCAACATACACACCTAGGTCCTTCTCACACACAGTCTCAACTAGTGCAGTTTCTTCATCCCGTTGGGACATACCGGTATGATACGCCTCCTTACCGTTGGTACGCCCCAGGTGCATCCTCTTACACTTCGTGACATTGAATCTCAGCAGCCATTTCTTCTACCATTCCTGGAGCCCACAGAGGTTATGTTCAATAATTGTTAAAATTACTAAAAAATGTTAATATTAAACTTTTAAAATTATTGAATAGTATAAACTTAAAAAATGTTAATATTAAACTTTTAAAATTATTGAATAGTATAAACTTCTTGATATTTACTAAAATAGTAAGGAATTTAAGCCGTAAAACCGATTACTGTATTGGCGGACTAATACTACAGCTGGTGGACCGCCAAATGCAAGCGAAAACATGTTGAGGTCGGCTTGTAAAAAACTTGTTAATCGAGGGATTGCTCGTTAACCGAAGTTAAGAATCTTATGGAAGGTAAATCGTAAACCAAGGCGTTCGTTAACCGAGGGATCACTGTATTTGATGTACTTCATCACTCTTCCCCAGTACTGTACTGTATAGTATTGTGAAACAGGTAGAATTGGGGTTATGTGTACCTGTATTAATGTTTAATTATTTTAAAGTTTATGTATTCAGACCAACAATTATACTGATGCTGTTCAGGTGTGATGGTGAACAGCCTGCACCCCGGTACTGTGTCAACAGAAATCTTTTTGAAGGAGGAGAGGACCCGCAGCTTGCCCATAAAAGTGATTTGTCACTTACTTAATATTATTGTCAAGGTTGCTGGCAAGGTAAGTACTATACAGTACTCACCCATGTCTTTAGACTGTAGTTATCTAATGTTGTTCACCATTAGAAGGATAAAAAAGAAAAAAGAAAATAACATATCTCTTGGTCACTACAGTATTAAAATTACAATAAAGGGTAATAATTATATTCACACATGTATGAATTATACAGTATTTGTAATCACTGACCCCATAAAAATTATTCCATTTTAGGGAATGATTCAAGATATTACAGTACAGTAGTTAAGTTCCCCTGTGATGCCTCTATGTTATCCATAGTCAAAAGAAGTGTTATCAGTACAGTATACTGTATATAACATCTGTCTTAGTAACTCCATTATCTAGAATTTAATCAAATATAACCTACACTTTTTTGCAGGACAGTGAACTGGGGGCTCAGACCATCATCCACTTAGCTGTGTCAGAAAAAGTGGAACAAGTGTCAGGCAAATACTTTGAAGACTGTAAGGTATAGCTGTCAAAAATTCAGTACTGTACTGTTATTGCCTGAACAACAAAGTTACATCTCAACATAACTGTCTCTTACAGATCTTGTGGTAAAATTATTTACAGTAGGAAATAATTCCTCTATCATAAGGCCTTTTAACTTCTGCAGTATAATAATTGTTAATTTTGGTTCTATTAATATTACAATTGTACTTTTACCATTGGTTTTACAACATAGACATCAGCAGCCACAACAAGAATACAATAATTGGATTACAGTGTAGTGCTTCTTCCTGTAATACAGTACTATCAATAGAAATATATGTACTACTGTATTACAGTACAAGTAGTACTACTACCACCACTACCACTAATACTGTTGCTGTACCCTCTCCAGGAAGTGGGAAGCTCATGGTTGGCTCAGGACAAAGCAGTGGCCAAATCACTGTGGGAAATAAGCGAAGTAGATGTACAGCTTCGCCCCTCAGAAATGTACTATTAGAATCAGGCTGTATGAGATGTATTTGGTGAAGGGTGTATGGAGGCTATATGCTGTGTGGAAGAATTTATTTATTTATTTATTTTATATTTTTAATGGGGAGCCCACCCGGGCACGGGTCAATGACCCACACCAGGGCCTGGAGGGCAAAAATATAACAATAATAATAATAATAATAATAATAATAATAATAATAATAATAACTAACAAAATCTAATAAAAAAATAATAATAAAAAAATAATAATAAAAAATAAATAATAATAATAATAAAATACCCTGCATCATAAAAAAAAAAGATCAACAGTAAGAAACGATGTACTGTACTGTACTGTATGTACAGTATGTTGTGTTGTCAAAGTAGGAGAAACAATTGAGACCCTGCAATTGTGTGTTAATTAAATAAATAGGTAAATATTTCATAATAAATTGTCTTTATGTCAAAGATAAATGCTAATGATTGCAAGAAATCTTATTTGCATAAATTTGTCAAACAGTAGAGAGGAAACAATAGTATGAGTAGAAGTAAACTGTAAGAAAGCTGGTTCAAATAGTTGTTGGATTTTATACTGAATAAGGAAAAATATGGAGACTTCCTGGATTTCTCAGGATCTGAAGAATTTTTGAAGAACAAGATGGGAGGCTGTCCCCTGCAGGCCACAGATGCTGCAAAACCTATAAGACAAGCACGAAATCTTAATTTACTTAAAAACTGTACTACAATATAAAGCAAAATGTCTCATAAAATGTTCTTGACATCTGTACATTCTAAACAGAATATATATATATATATATATATATATATATATATATATATATATATATATATATATATATATATATATATATATATATATATATATATATATATATATATATATATATATATATATATAAAGGTCTTAATTTGCTACAAAACAATGATTTTAACTAAATGTTTTGGTTTACATAATGATTTTAAGACAATAATACATATACATGAAATAAATGCAATACACTCGCTGCCAGTGGCGGCTCGTGAAAAATAAAATGGAGGGACTGCAAGCCTCACACAACAGTAGGATACACAAATTTGACCTACCTCAGGTATGAGTTGTAGTTGATGTCCACGAATTCCCAGGGCAACGATAAATTAATCATGTTATTCATATGTTTGGCTGACTGCTCATGTTTCACTATTTTCTGTGGCAAATGCCTCAAGTCAGTCACACCACTTTTCGTCCATGCCGAGTCCCCACCAAACAATAAGCATGGAAAGCAGAATAAAGTATTTGCCTCGTCACAACCACAGAGCCATTCACATTTCTGATAAACACTGATGTTAAACTGGCGTGTATATTCTTTGTTCCTGCTTGTACTGTTCTGTTGAATGGATAAAACTGGTGTAGGTCTTCCTCTTGCTTTGATTTCAGTCTTTTCATTTAATGTCAGCTGGGAAAAGTTGATGTTTTGCAAATACTTCACTCGATTTTCCATCGTCAAAGGGTAATTAAAGAAAGCACGATTTAACCACACCGTCCACACGCAATGTAAACACGTTGTACGAGACTGAGCTGCTTCAAGTGCAGCTCATTGTCTCCAGAAGTGGTGCGGCGGCGGCGCCAATTAATAACAGACATGAATCGTACAGCATTGACAGCAACTATGAAAGTAACTTAAATTTTGGTCTGATTTTAATGAAAATTCACTTAGCAACATATTGAAAATAATTAAATAACATATAAAATGATATATTTGTTGGTAGTGTATTATTCAGCTGTCTCTCTAAAGGAATCATATGCCTGGCAGTGAGTGTCTGGGGGGACTGCAGCTCTGCAGCCCTATGCATGAGCCGCCACTGCTCGCTGCATGTTACCGAGTTGCTGTCATCACCCTTCTTACAGAAAACACGGTAATTTTCAAATTTCTGCCATGGGTACCTCAATCATGCCAATATCAGTACCCTGTACTGTACTTTTGTTTTTGCCAAATTCATTCATTTTCCCTCTTCAATACTATGTGCTATCAGCATTGTCACTGGCATACAACCCTTAGGGCAGACCATTCTTAAAGTCACCTGATATTGCCTCTAGCACTATGAGAAATGGGAGGGGACCCAAGACAGATCTGTGATGGACCCCTACTTTCACCTCAAGTTCCTCTCCGTTTACTCTCACTGAGGATTTCAAGCCCTCATATGATGCCATAACCACTCAAACAAGGTATTACTAGCTTTCTCACTGTCCAGTGTACTACTTCAAGGGTACCCATCAAATACTTTCTCTAAGTTTACAAGTATGAAATACAGTACTGTACAACTTTATCTCCCTAAATATTTCTCTCGTAGTTCCCTAGCCATAAACATTGCCTTGTAGTCCCCTATTTGGCATAAACCCAGACTATTTTGAATAAGTCCACTCTTCCATTTCAATTTCTTTATAACTCCTCCTTCAACTTTCAAACCCCATTCAAGTGCACCACATTTACCCTTGTAAGTAATCGTAATTGCTCTTCTGCCAGTTTCTGGAACAATACAATCATTATGATTACATTTACCAATTTTCTCATCATCAACATGCCTACATTGATTGACGCTTTCAGCTTTTCTGTAACTATTCCAGAGCTTCCAGTTGTCTTTCCATTCTTCATTTTATCAATCACTTTCTTCCCTGTACTGGTTCTGTTATCCCTAGGCTCCCCATCCCATTTGTACTCTTCATTCAGTTATCAATAATAGTATATTTCTACAGGCATCCTTGATTTCATCACTATCAACATTAGCATAGTTTCCATATTATCATTCACTGCTTACCATCATCATCTATGTTTCTACCCACTACAGGTACTTGCTTGGCTATTCTGAATACCTCTCCTCTTACATCTGCATTACTCAACTTTTCCACGAATGCATCCTGTTTGTGCTTCTTAGCCTTGTAAGCTCGCACTTGGTCTTCAGGTACTCCTTGTCGCCACCCATCAACTAGGCATTATAATCTTCTTTTCTCCTTATCACTCAATCAAATAAAGTATTAATACATGTAAGTGCTAAAACCATACCAAGCCAAAGTGGTCTAAGAGTCAAATACCAAAATATCAAACTTATCACAGACCTCTGGACATGAAATTAAACATAATCTTGTTTAAACTCTGTGTACCAAGAATACATAAGAAAAGGTAATGGTGCATAGCATAAGGGGTAAAACTTCGAGTGTGCTTAACTTTATATTTTCTCACAATACATACATGTTTATACTGTATATAAAATACATACCAGTGCAACCAAAAAATATATTATTACAAGGTAGATGTTCCTAGCTTAACTTGTTACACACTAAAAAAAAATCATCATACTTGAATCTCTAACCTCAATCCATTTGAATTTTATAGCAAAAGCTAGGTTCACATCTTTCAAAGAATTAATATTTAATTAAAAAAAAAATTAATAATAATCCTATACAGTACTGTATCAAATGTTTTATCCCAGAGTAAAACTCCCAAATTCTAAACTTTTATTGTACATACACCTACCTGTCCTTTCAACACAGTCCACTGAAATTTACTCTAAGGAATTGTCTCTGTCAGCCCCTGCTGTGTCTGCCTCATCCAGAGATGAAAAGTTGAGGAAGTGGGCTGGGCGGTGAACCTCATGATAGAACTCCTTTGGACTTGCCAGTTGCAGATCATATTTCATGTTGGGATCATGGCGGACTCCCATGAAGTTATAGTTCCACGAAGCTTGCAATGGAGTCATGAAAAGACCAAGGAATCGATCTGAGAGAAGCATTTGAACTTTTTCGTAGTGAGATGGCAAGTAACCCTTAGGATTATTACCCATGTCTTTATTGTTACGACCCCATTCAAAACCAGAAGGAGTTAGTTTGTATGCCTGTAAGGAGCAAGAGCCAGGGGTAAATGAACACGTAATAACTATGGTGCGATCTGTGGTCCATGAGCTATTGTCAGCCATGACAGTTGCATGTGTGGTAATATCATGGGGAGAAAGCTGTGGTAACTCATTGGGCTGAGTATGAATCCATCCTAAAGGCTCTAGCTCATTCAAAAATTCATGAGTAGGTAGCTTGTGTGGCAGGTGAACCATCTGATGTGTCCCCCACTGTGGTGGCATGACAATACACCGAATTTCCTTTACTTGTGGGTTATCTTGGGGACTAACACCGTACAGGTAGCCAGCTATCTGAGTACGAAGATCTGAGATAATGATAAATTTCTTCAACACATTCTTGGGCAAGATGTATGTAAAACCAGTTTCTTTTATGTCATCCGATGACACATAAATGTAGTTTGTACGCAGGTGAAGGTTTGTGGCAGATATTGCTCTTACCCTCCATTCAGTCTTGCTGCTAAATGTTGCCGTTTCATAATTGCTGGTGGTAGAGGTGATAATCTCATCACCATGTTTGTTGACAGTTCTAGTAGTTGTAGCTGTAAGCTGAGACTGCTCCTTAGTCTGCTTTTCAATTTCTGCAATCTGTTGCCTCTGCGCTGATGGTGCACTAATTTCCATACCTAGAATAATATCTCTGATTTCAGATTGAGTGAGAGATGCCACATTTACATTGTTCTTTTTACCATAATCAGCAAGGATGAGATCTTTGAGTTGAACTTCAACTTTCACCCAGTCTTCATCTGAAAGTGAGGGCCAGATATGATGAGGTTCTGTTATGGTGGTCTTATCTGGTTTAAGTAGAACCTTGGTTCGATCATTATTCACATGAAGGGCACGCAGTATAAGAATTAGACGAGAGAAAGCCGTGTAAGACGAGATATTCTTCAGCCAATCATCATAAAGATTGAAGAGAACCATCTGTGGCTCTGTAGCTTTCAGAATAAGATCTCCAAATTTCTCCACCTTCAGGCAAGCCTGGAAGGGCAGTTGCAGTTCTGAACCCTTGATCACAATGTTAGGGAAATCCAGCAAATGCACTTCAAGCGGATCTAACATACCTTTTCGAGTTACAATGATCTGTTTTGGCTGTTCTTCAACAGGCAGTGACCTAATCAATGCAGCAACTTCCTCAGCTGTTTTCCATTTGGCCAACTGACCTAGACGCTTTTGACCTGCCCACACAGATGTGTGAATGATCTTCAAAAAGAGCTGACCTGTCCGAGGGTTAAAGATGAAAATTGCACCATTGATTGGCTTTGTTGTTAAGTTACCCTCAAAGGTTTTGTGAATAGTTACTCTGTACACATTTGTATCATCCACAAACCAAATAATCTGGTTGGAGAATAGTTCACCATAATTCTGTGAAGACAGATACGGTTCTGTGGGTTCAGAAGAGTAGAGCTGAAGACCCTTACGAATGCGCTCACGTAATACATATAGAGCTGGGTTTGCCTTCATAATCTTAGCCATGGCTTGCTGTATCAAAGGTTTGGCTCCTGGGAACCAGTTGCCATATGCACTGTGTAAATTATATGCTAGATCAATTGCAATTAATACACCTGTAGGAGATGGGTACAATGACATGTTGTCAGTTGTGTAGTCCAAGAACTTTGCTCTTGCATAGCGTTCAACATCATGAGAGTCATAGTCGCCCCATCTGAGTTGTACATCAATCCAGTACTTCTGTGTGGTTGACCCATCCATTGTGTCCTTTGAATCTGCCAAGAGTGAAGGCTTTGAGTAGTTCCATTTGTAGGCAGCAAACAGTAAAATATCTGCACATGAGGAGTTCATCTTGTATGATTTCCTAGGATGTATAGTCTCTTTTTGTACAGTCTCAATCTCCAAAGCATCAAGTTCCTGATCAAAGACCTGACACAGATCCATTACCACCGACTCATGGATCTTCTGCCACAAATGGGCACGGAAGATTTGAATAAGAGAAATCTTGAGAGTGGGAATTTTTCCATGCATGAATATACCAGTCAGATCAAGTTGCACTTGGAAACCTACATACACATTGGCTCTGTTAATGGTTGGTGACCACCAAAGGGTAAATCGACGGTTAGGAATCTGATTAAGACCAGATCTTTGGGCATTTGTCAATTTCTTGTATTTCATACTCTCTTCAAAACCAGAGGCTTTCTCCCAGAAGAGACCTTCCCATGTTGGGAAATATGTACCTTTAAAGAGTGTATGTTCTAAAATACCTTCTACGCCACCTAATGCTTGAATCATGTCGGTACGATAATTGTTCAAATTCCATAGCTTACCATCATGGCGTTGATGTGTCCACCAGAAGGGATTCTGTTTGAGCACCTGGTATTGTTTAAATTCTGTTCGTATTCTCCAACCTTTGTCATATGCAAGTGTATGACGATCTTTCTGGAAAAGTGTGTTGATTCTAGGAATACCTCGATCCCATGAATCTTCTAAGTCTTCCAGAGTGAGACGACGATTCTGTGCAGTTGCCTCTTGTCTCTTAAGTGCATACTCAGCCCATACTCTTTGTGAATCAAGGAACTCAGTCTCCCAGGGCTGAATGTATCTATACAAGTTAGGAATAAGTTGGTCTTCATCATGACTCATGCCAGATCTGAAATGGGTAATGCCCACGTCAGTTTGCTTACTCCAACGCAAATCCGACTGTGGAATAAGTACATGACCCATTGATAACATACCAAGGCCCCCAAGCTCCTTTGGAGTATAAAATACTACAGGGGGAAATCTGGAAGGCATCTTTGAGTTCAAACCAATCTTAATACGTGTTTGAATCTTATTTTCGCATTTGACCAACAGATCTAATAGTTCTTGTGTGTTCACAACAGATTCTCTGTAGTATGTCATGAGACCAATCAAAGCTGTGTTCCACTTGTTAACAATCTTTGTGAATGTTGTGGAACCTGAAGCCATGAGAATTTGTCGAACACGATTGTGGAACCTTTGCATAGATTCATCATCAACACGCAAGAAACACTGTGAAGTTCGTTCTTTTGTAACTTCATTCTGTAAGTTCCACACGCCATCTCTATGCTTAAACTCCTCATGAGTCATGCGACACTTGGGCAAAATGCGGCATTCAAATCCAGACATATTGAATAAAAGATTAGGGTTGTCTTTAGAATACACAGAGACAAAGGAATTTTCCCAGTTGATAGTGGTGACAGATCTAGGCAATCTGTTCTTTATATCCCAAAACACTGCTCGTCCCAAATTGACATCATGCTTCATGAGCCTCATTCTTGCATCCCTTGGCCAGCACTTCTTGTTGTTGTAGCCTACAATGTTTTCATTATTTGGATCGGGATGCTCTGTCAGGTAACGCTGGATAAGATCTTTTGCCTCCTCAGCTGTAAAACGGAAAAAGATGTGTATTCTGTCAATGTATCGTGAGTACAATCTGATAGGATGCTGTGTCTCTGTGGCAACATCTTGAAAGTTTAAAAAGTCATTGGGCATTTGTGGGGGACCCGACATGTCAGCTGCACGTTTCAGACCCAAGACCAGTAAGTCCATTACTAAACCATAATACTGTACAATGAAGGAGGCAAACTGCAAGCCTCGGATGATGCCGTAACGGTTTGTGTGGTTCATATCCTTGTAGTTGATATCTACGTTATTCTTAGCTGTCATGTAATCAGCAATGTTATGGTCAACAATCAATCGCAGCAACCTGTTAAGTAATGTAAGATCAATCTTCTCATATAACTTTTCATACTTTGACTCCAGCATTACATTACATTCTCCATCAGCTGTATCCCAAACATCTGTGAGGTTATTTATGCCTTGACACCACTTGTACACCAGAAGAGGGGGAGGTTCCGAGTCTCCAGGTTTGACCCAAGGCGGGAAGAGGCGGCGCTTGTCGGCCTCATACCAGAGGTATTGGTCCAGGTAAGCATCTGTAATTTTCTCAAGGGGTTCTACATCGTACACAGGTATTAAATGACTGTAAAGGTCCATGAATTCAATGCCCACTTCCTTGAAAGCTCTCTGAGTTAGCAAATGACGTTTGATGCGAGACAGCGCTTCGTGGGGGTTGTCATATGCTTGTTCAATAAGACCCAATTCCTCTCGCTGGGACTGATTTAATCGTGATTTCACACTGTAAGCTTCTTTCAGTCTTTCCAGGGCCAAGATGAGCAGTTTTGTGTCATGCTTGTACGAGAGAGGTGGGAAAGGGATGGGAGCAAAACGACGAGACTCTAACCAATGGACAGTAGTGGTGTAAATGGCCACTGCTTCCTCAGGACTGATGTAGGGGCCATCCTTCTGGTAGTTGTGTTGCCGTTCCTGTTCAGATTTCAGGTACAGACGTGTAAGTCGGCCCATGTTCTTCTTGCAGACAGTCTTGTCCACAGTGGCACCACGACGAATACGCTCACGGTTGTAATGAGCAGTGTTGGTCCACCAATCAGCTTTCATCTTGACATATCGAAGAATCATATTCTCAATTGGTGTTGGCAAACCGGGTACTTTCCAGGGGATGTTAGCTTTCCAACATCGCCAAGCCTCAGAAAGATGCTGAAGAATTGTTCGAGCCTTATTCTGCTTGATACCCTCTGGCATCATGTCCAAAATGTCATGCATAACAGAGGCTCGTAACTCAAGATCAAAGTGAGACTCCACACGCTGCTTGGTCACAGTCTTAGCCACACCTTTGCTGTGTCGACCCTCAAACTGACGAGAGAGAAGGTTACCCAGCCAACGCTCCAACAATGGGGTAATTCCTCTCATGAAGAAGAGCCATACTCTCCACCCTGGAGCCCAAAAACCACAACCAGGACCTTTACCTACCTGACCAGTGTTGAACCTGTAGTATATGACATGCTTGAGATCTTTGCACATCCGGATCTGTCTCATTAGTTTGTACTTGTACCTGTACATACCAGTCAGTTGACCAACATGAGCAAAAATGTACTGAAGTCCATCTGCTAACTGGAAGGCATCCACATTGTTAAGCCTGTACTGTACATGTGCATCAACCACCAGCTTTGTCAACCTTAAAATTTCACGACACAAGTGGAATGCATTTCCAAACCTTGACTTCTTTCTCTCTTTAGTTGTAAGTGTTTTGACAGGTTTTAAGTTGAAGTTGTAATCCAGATGCAAATAATTAAGGTTTTTGCGATGAATAAGGAGGTTAAGCATGTTATATCCTTGACGACAGACCTGGAGGCCAACTTCTACCCAATCCAAGGTCGTGGTCTGGAAAAACTTGGTTGCCTTGAAGGAACGGAACAAGTAACGTTTCTTCTGAGCTTTGGGTGGACGGTGCTTGAGAGCATTGAGGACATAATACTTCAACAGCTTCTGATATGATACACGCACCTGTAAAACAAAATACAATACAGTACCATTACATACTTAAACAATATTTGTAGTTCTGTCTCAGCTATTTTCCATCCGAGTTCAACATGCTTATCATTCTCATGAAAGGTGACATACACATAACTCAGGTCAGGTATAGATATGGGGCTGCATCATGGGTAAAAGAGGTCCAAAAGCAGAAATACTTGGTGGCATAACAAACTGCAGGGCTGTGTTCAGTTGGGTAATACTACACTGTACATAGCACCCGGCTGGCTAGAAGGTGTACTGAATGGTTGATCAGCTGATCTCTGGTAAACATAAACAAACAAGAAGGCCAAAGCTGAATATAACTTGTTAAATAGCTGCTGATGTTTCATTTTCCCAGTCATTGGTCAATAAAATTACTAAATCATCAATGTGGTTCAACCTAAATATTAGATTATTGTAGTAGCTGAATATAATTTGTTAAATATCTACTCGTGTTTCCTTCCCCCACTGATTGGTAATTTTTATGTTATTATTTAACCAATTATCAACTCCCTAACCGTTCGGGCAGTTTGTTTTTCTTTGTTAAATTGCTATGAACTTTATTTGTCAGGTGTTAGTACAGGAGGAAACCTGTGGCATTTGGTAGAGTCACACTGGATAGTAACCCTTCTCATGTGTGTCCGGGCCAAGCAGAACTCGAACCCATGACATTGATGATAGTGGCTAGAGGTAATGCATGTTACTGCTGTACCACCACCAACATCGTAGTATTTTCGGTCATGTACCAACACCCACAATTAGTTATTTATGTTTCTACAGAAATTGTCTCAATCTACAAAATTATCATATGAAAAAAGTGATTTACAAAACAAATGCAAGTAAGCACTTATGGCTGTCCTCATCTTTTTTATTTGTAAACAAACCTTGCTACGAAGTGATCCACCTATAGCTATGGTTCAATTTGCATGGCATACGGAAAATGCGGCATTGCAATACTGTACTGTCCCGTTCAGCAGCTGAATGTGCATATTACCCAACTGAACACAGCCACAGTCCTAAAGGATCTATGTGAAGCACTTCATATTATTCATATTAATGCTGGAAAATACACAAATATTTATAGAAAAGGCAAGTCCCTTATATTCACTTATCTCTCTTACATCTTAACTTGAAAACTTCAATTAAATAATTACCTTAACTGGTTGACCAGGAGGACAATGTTCACGGTACCACATCTTAACTAGAGGGACATCAATTGCTCTTCTCATAGTACCAGAGCGCATGTTGAAGGGCCGAGGCCCCCATAACAGTGCTATGCCATTAGCTGTTGCATCATCATATAATTGCCATTCCTTCAACAAAGCTTCTACATCTTCTGGAAGTTCAAAGTCCTGCAAAGACAAAAATATAATGAATTTAAATATTAAATTTCTTTTCAAACAGGGATCAGTAATTCACATGTTCACTTATTAAGACGCTGAGCCATAATATTAAAACATCTATCAAGGAAAAACTTCTGAAATTATAACAATAAAATTTTACTTACCTCATCATCATCAGGAAGAAGAACCTCTCCTTTAACTGTGTTGCGGTGAGAGATTGGATTAATAAGAGGATCAAAGTAGAAGGCAGGAAGGTCGGGATCCTCAGTTTTGATGTAGAGGACAACCGGTGTGTGATACCAGCTGAGATGGACATACTGTGGCATATTATTAAACAAATATGGGAATGCTATGCGATATTCTGTTCGCACTTGATGACGTACGATGATCTTGTTAATGTCATTGAACTCATTCCAGTCTTCATCAGCAGGGTTCATGTCCTTAATCAATGGTTCAAACTTTGGTCCTCCAGGTAAAGCCATATTCAATGCCTGTAAACAAATTTAAAAGTACTGTATTATGTAATGAAAAATGAGGGTATGAACATACAACAATGCATCTAAGATATCAACTGGTTGTTTCTATACTAATGAGAGCATCAATGATGATTTTCTTCCAACCACATCCACAATTATATTTACAATCTGTCAAACACCTTAAACAATTTTAAACAAATGCTGTTACTCCAATTTCTAAGATATTGTGTCAGTCATTACTTCATTTTGAAGGATAGGTTTTTATAAACAATGAAAAACTATTTTCACAAAACATACATTTTGTTTAACACACCTCTCATGTTCAACTGGTTGGTAACCGTGATGAGAAGCATTAATTAAACAGGGTAAATAAATTTTAGGTAGGCTAACTTAAAACCAAGCAAGTTAGAGAATGACTATCAAATTGGGAGTATATTATGAAGAGGAACACATTAAAAACTCACCTTTGCTGTGAAGAAAGACTTTAAATCAAACAAGTAAAAGTAATTGTTATCCGAGACATCAGTCAGCAACTGGTTAGCAAGACGGTACAACGTTGCCATTTGAGGAAGAGTCAGGCGCCACTTACGATAAGTAGGACCATTCACATGTTTAGTGTCAATGAGAGGCTTGTGCTCATAAAACCAGTCTGCAACCTATGGAGAAGAACAATGTTGTCACCCATTAGCTAACAAAATGTACTGGAGTCAACATTATATTGCGAATAAAGGCTATATCAAACTGACACCATTTAACATTCATGTAACATATGTAAATTAACAATAGTTATGCCTAATGACACAATACACTTTGATAAGATACAATAAATAAGTCTAATAGCTATCAGATTCTCAAATGTAACAAGAGTTTAGTCAGATGAAATATTCTCTAATAAAGATTCCTCTACAAGAAATGGACTCCCAAAGGATGCTGTAATGCTTCAATTACAAAGTAGTATGTATTATTAACCATAAAATAAAGCCATTACTACTTCCCTTTACTACTTTGATGTTAGTACAGTACAGTTAAGAGAAAAAGAGACTGATACACTATATAGATGAAAACAGGGAAAATAGGTTTTGAGATTATGGATATCATGTAGATATTGGGGTTCTTTTTTTCTATGGAGTAAAGTTTATGATGAAGCAAAGTACCAGGTAATCATTTGATGTAAAGTATGTTCTGGGCTACAGGTATGAATTTCAGAGGAAAATACTGTGCAATACAGAACTCTGAAATTTTTTTGATGCAATCACACATACCAAAAATTTTAAAACAATTTAACAATACAGTACTGATATACTTTACAGAAATCATGAATATCACCACTGTCAAATACACAATTTACTCAAGGAATATTTTCACATTCATTTGCAAGGGTGAGAAGCAACCATTCCTACATAAGGTTTTTCAACACTTATATGTTCATATTAATTAGATTACACTACAGTAACATCCTTAATGAATACTCAAACTTGCTCAAAATTCTTCCAACACAAACTCCAGCAAAACCAATCAGATTAGTCTTTAAATCCTATCATCAACAAACAACTTCTCCAATCCCACCTGCTATGTATGCCCATCATTTATCTATAATCTCCTGTCACTAGTACTTACATACATCATGACTTGCACCATTCAAAAATAAACATCAGTCACCCCCAATATATAAAGCAAAATTACATGCACTTTAAACCTCACATTCATTCAAATCAAAAACAGTACCCTCACCTCTACATCTTCCTCAGGGTCTAGTTCCATCTGGATAGCTTCAAGGGGCTCCACATCTAACACATTGTCAGCAAAATCCAAAGGAGGCTCTTCATCATCAAATGGAGGGAATCTCATCCTCTTGAAATGCCGTCGATCTCTCTTTTCTCTTCTCATCATCATCCACATGGTAGACCACTGGGAGATGTAGACTGGTTCAATCACCCATGGTATCTCGTTGACAAATGTGATGGCTCCAGTGATGTGGTATAAAACCTGTTTGAAAAAGGAACATTTCACTTTCTGCTAATGGAGAAAAATACACCGAAAAGCTTGTTGTGGTAGATTTCTTTATAAATACTTAACAGTCTCATTCAAGATTCTTCAAACACTGCTGGAGACAGTTGGCAACTCAAGGCCCTTTGTTTACTATAGTACGGAGTAAAAATTTTGAATAAATGCAAAAGTGATCGGTGATTGGTTACTTAGTTCCCCGTTGCTTAATTTAATGGTTGGACTTTGTTTCGTATAATATTATACTACATACAGTACTATATAGTAAACAAACGGCCTTGGGTTGCCAGCTGTCTCCAGCAGTGTTCAAAGAATCTTGAACGAGACTGTACATGAAATTCCAGACTACACACACACTGAAAGCATTCAGCAGTGGAAGACTGTATCATACTTATTCACGTATAAATATGGAGTGTTGGAATAGAGATAAGCCTCATGACATTATATGCAGTTAAAACAGATGACTGGAAAGAAAATGTATAAATGGAGGTTAGAGGTACAACAAAAGTACTGTATTTAAACTATTCAACCAGGAGCAAACTTGTAGCAATGGTTTTAAATTAGACAAATTTAGATTTAGGCATGAGACAGGTAAACACTGGTTTGAAAATACAGTAGTATATGTGTGGAACAAGTTACTAAACATCATCAATAACTTGAATACGCTGGGAAACTTCAAATATAGGTTGGACAGCTATATGAGCGATAGGGCCACTGCAGTTTCCTCCATTCTTATATTATGTATATAATGGCATATAAGAAAGGTATATGGCAACTCTGAAGATACAAGTATAAGTTATTTTAAGTTTTTTCTTCATAACTCATAGCTCTTATTTTGAATGATTCCAATTAGTTTCACTTAAAATGAAGTACAGTAGTAATAATAGCAATAACAATAAAACCAATAGCCTCAGCCACAAAAATTTTACATGTTAAGTGTATATCTATGAACTTTTACTATGAAATGTAACTGAAAAAAAAAAAACGTAAGAGCCATAACTGCTAAAAATTGAGGCAGCATTAAGTACAGTTCTGAATGTATGTACAATGACACACCTTCAGTCAATGATCATCTTGCATGCAAAGTTCATTAAATGGACGAGTTAACAGTTCTGAGTAAACACAAGAAATACACTCTGCCACGTTCGTAGAGTGATACGGCATATACAAGTTGTAATAAAAGTTTAAAGTCCTGCTATTAGTCAAAATAAGTTTATTTCTCAAGAAACAGGGCCGCCATATGCAATGACGTCACTACCTTCAAACTCATCGCTGCAGTAAGAGGTAGTAGAAAGAATGGCCTCGATCAGGTAAGTTTTAAGGGTGTTTTTTATGGTCTAATTCATGGACATTTCACAGGTGAAGAAATGTGCAGTGAAGATCAACTGCAAACATAGATTGGATGGATATATGAGCGATAGGGGTTGGGTGTAAATAGGACTGCCCAGTATGGACCAATAAACCCGCTGCAGTTTCTCCCGTTCTTAAGTTCTTTTGGACATAAAAAATTCCCATGTTCACACCAGCTCAGCTGTCATGTACAGTGGGGTATGCTATAACGAACGGATCCTACTACGAATATTCCTATAACGAACGGTTTTACCTATAAAATTGAGAATGCTATAACGAACGAAACTCCTACAACGAACATTATTTAAAAAATTTTTTTTTTTTTTTTTTTTACTAATTTATTGTTTTTTATTACAAGTATTAATGATATTCTTTATTTCAGGGGTTTAGATGCATATGTATGCACTTTTTTAAAATTTTTACAATTTTATGTTATATTTTTCAGTTAAGTGGTTGTATTTGGGGGCCTGGAACGGATTAATCCTATGACGAACGAATGCTATAACGAACAAGGTTCTAGAACCAATTAGATTCGTAATAGCATACCCCACTGTACTCTTACCTGGTAGACTTTCTCTTCTTTTTCAGTGCATTTACAGAGTATATTGGTAGTAGATGGAGACAAGAGTAAATTTTGAAGTAATGACATTGCCTGGACTTTGTTTTGAGAATGCCTGATACCAGGTAAACATGACAACATAGTGTTGTTATTGTTTTGATGATTCACTAATGAACCACTGGGTATATCATCCTTTATATTAATTAATGGGTAAAATTTTACTTTAACCACCAGAAGTATTTGGAAGTTTAGATTTGAGACAGGTTATATTGGGTAAATTTTAAGTTTTGGTCATCCCTGTACTTAGACATGCAGACTATGTTTTTTTTCCTGATGGCTTGCAATGTGTTATGAACGATTTAGACCTTCATTTCAATCAGAAATCACTAGTTTTGAGTTACTACCCCCCCTTACTGATGTATGTTAAGCTAACCAATACCTCACATATGATATGTATTTTGTTATGAGATCGAAAAATGTTTTGTGACAGAAATCCTGTAGAGATAATGTGTCTTATTGTTTAATGTATTTAATCCCAGTTAGAATCTTAAGGTTCCCCAGATGACCAAAACCACAATAATACCAATATTGTTTGGAATGTTTATACAGTGACCCCTCGTTTAACGAACGCCTCGGTTAACGAACTGCCTTCCATAAGGATCTTCAATTCGGTTAACGAACAAAAATTCGGTTAACGAATTTCTTACGAACCGACCTCAACATGTTTTCGCTTGCACTGACCGGCCAACCAGCTTTAGTATCAGTCCACCAATACATTAATCGGTTCTAGGGCTTAAATTCCTTACTATTTTAGTAAATATCAAGAAGTTTATACTATTCAATAATTTTAAAAGTTCAATATTAAATTTTTTAGTCATTTTAACAATCATTGAACATAATTGAAGGTAAAGTGACTAGTTTAATGCGCGGCATCCAGCCTCTTAACACAGCAAACCGGCGTTAGTCTCTCTCTGTTTTCACTGGAGGTAACATCTTGCTTGAGACTCTTCAACTAAACGCTTTTTTCTGTGTTTCCAAGCAAATTATTGGTCATTTTGAAATTTATTTTACATATTGACAATATATAGCGCAGTGCAGTGTTATTTTAAAGAAAATATTCTTTATTTACAGCTAGTTTAACTTTGAAAAACACGTGTTGACATTGTCTGAATCCAGCATGGGGCCTAAGAGATCAAGAAAATCTATTTCAATCCAAACCAAGCAGGAAATCATAAAAAAAACATGAACAAGGCATTAAATCAAATGTGCTTAGCAAAGAATATGGCATGTCGGCATCAACTGTGTCGACAATTCTTGCACAGAAAGACAAATTTAAAGAAGTGAAAGTGAGTGACACAAATCTACAAGTGTTTAAAAATAGATCCCTAATCGTAGAAACTGAGAGGTTACTTATCATCTGGATTAGGGAAAAACAGATGAAAGGTGATTCAGTTTCTGGTGATTTCATTTGTGAAAGAGCCAAGATTTATGAACATTTAAAGGCAGATCAACCTGGTTCTTCAGGCACAGAATTTGAAGATTTTCGGGCCAGCAAAGGCTGGTTCGAAAAATTTAAGAAAAGAAGTGACATTTTAAGTGTTGTTAGGCATGGTGAAGCTGCTAGTGCTGATAAAGAAGGGGCAGCAAAGTTTTTAGTTGAATTCAAAAAACTGATGGAAGAAGAAAATTATCTTCCACAGCAAGTGTTCAATGTGGACGAAACTGGGCTGTTCTGGAAAAAGATGCCCAAAAGAACATTCATCACCAAAGATGAAGCCTCTTTACCTGGGCATAAACCCATGAAAGACCGTCTCACTCTATTGCTTGGTGCCAAAGCTTCAGGGGATTTCCGACTGAAGCCTATGCTTGTCTACCACTCTGAAAACCCCAGGGTGTTCAAGCAACAGAAAGTGGTAAGAACAAAACTTGGAGTTTATTGAAAGTCCAACCATAAGGCATGGGTGACAAGACAGCTCTTTAATGAATGGGCTGTTGATGTGTTTTGCCCTTCTGTCAAGAGCTACCTAACCACCAATAAACTCCCTTTAAAGGTTCTTCTCCTCATGGATAATGCTCCCGGTCATGACCCTGAACTTGCCAGCAATTTGGATTATCAATTTGACTTTGTGAAAGTGTTGTTTTTGCCTCCAAACACTACATCAATCATACAGCCAATGGACCAGAATGTGATCAGCAACTTCAAGAAGTTGTACATGAAGAAAATGTTTAGGAGGTGTCATCAGGCAACTTCCAATGATCCTGAACTAACACTGAAACAGTTCTGGAAGACACAATTCAACATCCTGAAGGCTGTAAAATTGATTGTGTCATCATGGCAAGAAGTCTCCACTAGATCCCTCAATTCTTCATGGAAAGCACTGTGGCCATCAGTAGTCCATGATTTTGAGGGATTTGAGGAAGAAACAGAGTTGGACAAGGAGATTGTGTCCATTGGTCAGTCATTGGGCCTTGAAGTGGAGGAGGAGGATGTGGAAGAGCTTGTGATGTCTCATGAGGAGGAACTTACTCCTGATGACTTGAAGCAACTGGATGAGATGTTACAGGTAGAGGCTGACAGTGGTGAGGAAGAAATTGAAAGTGATGACCATATGTCAGCTAAACAGTTGAAAGATGTGATTTACTGCTGGGAGAAGTTCAGGGAACTGGCTTCAAAGCACCCAGAAGTGGAAAAACTGAACTAACTTTGTGTCATGTTGAGGATTCAGTGGTCTCCTTCTTTAAACATAAGTTAATGGTGAGGAGGACAGATGCCCCACAGACCACAATTGACACTTTCTTCAGTAAAAGGCAGAGGGAACAAGATGCTATCCCTCAGCCTTCCACTTCAAGGAGGAGAGAGGATGTTCATGGTGGAGAATCTGTCAGTCCAGAGGTTCCTGACATTTTCATGGAAGGTGACTCACCTTCCAAGAAGCAGTAAAATGCTTCTCCTCCACCACCTTCTCTTCTCCCTTCTCCTCCTCCACCTCCCACTTCAAATGCACATCATCATCATCATCCAGGAGCCTTCTACATACACACCTCAAAGTAAGTGAACTTTTCTACCATTTTTGTTGAATTTAGGAAATTTTCGGTGAGCTGGAACCAATTACCCAAAACCCATTGAAACAATGGTTTCGGTTAACGAACTTTTCGGTTAACGAACGACCTTCTGGAACGGATTGAGTTCGTTAACCAAGGGGTCACTGTACTATGAAATTTGTTGTATGGGCAGCTAATATCCATTGAATTAGTTAATGTGCTTAGTAATATTTGTATATTCAAAATAGTATGACTGTGTTGCACAGTAAAGCACAACTAATTATCTAATAATATTTGTTTACAGAACTCGCCCCAGCCAGTGACGTCACAATCAATCTCAGAGCTTTTTGCAGTCACGTGACTTTTTAGCAACTTTAACCCTTATTTTAGACACTTTTTGTCCCAATTTATTAAAAAATATCATTACCATAGTGAATTTAAGCGTTTTCTTTGCCCATTGACCGGCCAACTTATGAAACAATTCCGACCATCAACTTGTCCATTCTGTGGAAAACTGTCAGGTACATTAAATGCATGAATAAAAACTCATAAATTGTACAGGGGTACCTAGTGACAGCACTAGGATCCTGCTTCCTCTATCAAGGAATAAACAATTGAAATTGAATTGAATAAAAACTGGAAGACCAAAAGAAATGTAGAGAGAGGAATAATAATAAGAAATATATGGTTTAAGAAGAAGCTAATTAAAAACTGTTGCACATGAAAATGTAGAAGATAGAGGTTATTATACTAAAGGCATTTATTGTAAGGAGTTTAAGAAGCACAGAACAGCTGATGTCAGCTTTCCCAGACTGTCATTAAAAAATTTGACATTATACCACATCTTGGGAATAACTGTTGTACAACCCAGTCCCCAGAAAACAATAAAATTAGGAGAACTGTTATTTGGACACAATACGTTAAGTGAAGAAAATATATACAGGGTGATTCAGCAAAGAGTAAATTAAATTGGAGGATTAAATCCTTGGATAATTCTAAACCACAATGTCTCTATGGTAAAATGTCAGATTTTGCATAGTTTCCATGTTACAATACATTTAAGATGTTGTATTAATGAGAGTGAATTTGAAGTGAAACCCTGTAGGTTTTTGTAATACAGTAATTTATTCACAGATCTCTACAGTGTGACCCCTCTTTGTTACAACCTAAAGGAAATGTTCAAAGTTGTCCCCTTCTGCCTTAATGTAGGCCTGTACACGACATGCCATTGATTGTCTGACGCGTTCCAGAATGCCTGGACTATGTTTAATTTGCTCGCACCTGTCACGAACACGTGGGCATACGCAGATTCTGACATTTTACCAAAGAGACATTGGGGTTTAGAATTACCCAAGTATTTCATCCTCCAATTTAATGCAATCTTTGCTGAATCAACCTGAATAAAATTATGGAAAGAAAGACAAAAAAGTAAAAAAAGTCCATCAGTCAACAATAAATAAGAATAACACAAAAAATCGGCCCGTTGTAAAGGTAATTTCTCCTGAAGATCGCAGCTAGATTCGCATATTTGTGCAAGAAATACGACGAATTTCAGGTTCGTTTAAGTCTTAACTTTTGCACTTACAGAACTGTAATCAACTTGTTCACCCTTATATAAAGTATCTTATGGGTAATGATATTAAAGTTTCAATCATCTTTGAGTAATTATCACTTTTGTTACACCAAATTCACTAACGGCTAATGAAATCGGACAGCGCCCACACAAAAAGTGCGGAGCCAAAACAGGTTTCAACTAGGCGCGATCCTTTTCAATCCTTTCATGCCTTACGCTTTGTTTTAGAACCTACCCAATATACAGTACTACTGTAGATAATTATTTTTATTATTATATCACAGTTTTTTATTGCCTTACATGCCCCAGCTCTTCAATATTAATCAGAATATTCTCCATAAGCGGTCATGATCCGCATATTTCAGTGGGAGAAATCGCTGATTGGTTGTTAGCTATTTGGGCCGCTTAAGGCTAACCCCTGATCGAGGTGTTAGCTTTTCCCTTTGAATGTCTCATGCGCACAAGTCAAAAGCAGTGTCTGCGCATACAGAATAGCTAACGCGTTAGCTAATCCGTGCATCTGAAACGCCTTACAATAACCGCCTTTAATGTATAATAGAAAAAAAAAAGACTGAGGTTTATGATATGGTCTGTGAGTGTTCTAAGAGCAGCAGCATAAGGAGTGTCTGACCATTACTTGGTAGAATAATAATAGAAAGTCAAAGATTCATGGCAAACAATAGCCCAAGAAGTGAGGTTATAAAAATTAAACAAGGCAAGGAAAGAGAATGCAGCTGAAAATTTTAAATAAAAAAAATAGCTTACAATAGGATGTAGTTATAAATAGACAATAAAGTCCTATAAATCTAACCTGGACATCTCGTATCTGCTCCCATGGCATTGGCATGTTTTCAAGAAGCTTCAGTACAGCATGAGGCATGAACTTCAAGGCTCCCAAGTATACACGCTTGTCATGACGGTACTTTCGACTTGACATATCTCCATGATCACGAATGATTTTGCGGATGTGTTCTGGTGGCATCTCTTCTTTTTGCACGTCAACAAAACCAAATTTTCTTTTCTCTGCATATTTCTTATTGTGAAGCTGTTGCCATCTGTAATTGCAATATTTTTACTTGTTGTTTTGGCCATTTCCCAACAATTTCTGCAATTACAGAAATGCAGTAAAATAATATACAATTATGATAACAGTACACATACAGTACTACTGTATATGATATACATACCTCCGAGCTTTCTCTTGCATCTTTTCCAAGGAAACATTTTCTACAGGTGGAGGTCCAGCCTGCGGGCGAGGAATGGCCTGTGCCTGGGAATGTGCTTGGGCTTGAGCCTGGAAGTGTGCATGCATCTGAGCATGGGCAGCCTGGGCCTGTGCAGCAGCAAGCTGGGCCTGCTGCTGGGCCATGTATGCCCAAGGGCTGCCCGGAATAAGGTACGGAGGCAGGGCCATTTTTTGTTTGTTTGCCTGAAATAGATTAAAATGGTACATATTAAGAGATGAATACAAATGGCTTCACAGAAAAGAAACATATGATGTATTATTAGGGATAAGCATAGAGTAAATACTTTTCTGAGATTCAAGTATGCAGTACTGTACCCTTAGAGGCTAGGATGGATGAACGAGATTAAAAACTGGGTCCCCAGAGATGCAAAATCTCAGAGGCTTGGTAACAACAGCCCAAAAGCATTTAGTGGGGAACTGTGGTCTCACAAATCTCAGATATGAGGATGGTACTTTGACCGAATCCCTATTCCATCTCTAAGTGCTGCAAAAAAGGTGTTCTTTTTTAGTATTTTATCCCACATTTTCCCTCTACTTCTAAGCCCTGCCTACTTTGAACAACCAATATTGTTGGTAATTGGAGAGGTATTATCAGTCAAAATACTCTAAAAATATAAATTTGTGCCAGGAATGTAATAGAATAAACTATTATTTGTTCTGCTCTGTCTCCCGATATAAATAGAAATATGAAATTTCATGCTCAACCTAAAATGAATCTCTGCCATTTAGTCAATTCTAGGATACTTTTCCTCTTTGACGTTACCCTCGCAAATGACTTATACTGTATATGCCATAGGGTCCAAGGACGAAGGCCTCTGGTCAGGTTACATTAGGTTGTTTGTGAGAAACATCATAGAAGTGTCATAGATTTATCTAAACTTCTGGAAAAACATGTTTTCATTTATCAAAACAATTAAAAACTGCAAGAAAAATAATACCCTAAAATCTACCCAATTCTCGGGTGGGCATATAACGAATCTTTACCAAAGGTTGGTTAATCCAGACTCTCGTTCTTAACTATGGTTAATATTTGTCTTTAACCCATTCCTCTCTAGTGCTTTGACTACCCTAAATATGTTAGTTTTTTAATTACTAATCAGTATCTAATATCAACATTTCTTGTGCAAATACAGTACTGTACTTATTTTTATTTTTTTTTATTTACAAGGGAGGATCCTGGGGGTTCAGATCCCCCTTTTCACCAGAAAATTCCAATACTCCATTTTTAGTGCAGTATTCTACTCAGGCATTTTTGTATAGTAAAAAGTATTTCCTATTTACTTCAGAATATCTCCTAATATCAAGTGCACATGGCTTCAAAATGACCTCTAAATGCCCATGATATGGATCAGATTTCAAAAAAATTTCTAGGGGGATAACAGTAACCCCTCAAGTCCGTGCTTTATTACTTTATTAATAAAGCACGGACTTGAGGGTAGACTGTCACATTTTTAATAAAATTGTTTCTAATTATTTGTGAGAGAATTTTCCCAATATTATTTATTGTGTATTTACAATACAGATAGAAGAAATTACTGTCTCTAGAACAAATGGCTCCCTGTCCCAGCCAGCAAAATGCCGGCAACCTTAAAACTACCCACAGTCATTCTTGGGTACATCCAGAGTGTCATCTGCGAATAATAGAGGACCGCAAAATAAAACTCCACGAATTTGGAGGGGGCGCCTGTATATCAGTGGCATCTGACAAAGTATCTACAGTATTATAAATCATTAAATAATGGGTGCAAAATACTTACAGCAAAAGAATATTAAGCTTTCAGTGTGATCGACAGTAATTTAGAAATAAAGTTGTTAAAAAAATGACTACCGGTAGGCATCATGCACAATGCTGGCCCTCTGTAAAGTTGCCAATGATCTTATTGCTGAACATTTAAATAATTGGTAAATATTTATATTTATAAGATCCGATTACTATTTCAAGTAAAATAGAAAATTGAATAACTTTCCCAAGCGAAAAAACTACAACTGAAAGTGGACCGTCGGGTTATTTAGATATATAAAAATAATAATGTGGACCAGTTTTATCCAGCTGACAGAGAGCCGCCGCCGGTCTACATAGCTTCTCCACAAGTGAATGCAGTTTTCTTAGTACATGCATTTGTACCCATTACATGTACAGAAACCTTATTAAATAGCAACTCTTATGGAACAACAACTCTTAGGCAATATAAAATCACCATATATCATAAGACTTCATGCTTATTAAGGGAAAAAAGAATTAAATTTGACTAAAATGGCTTTAATTCCTTACGCTCCAACACAATAAAGTTCATTTTAGCATGTTATTGATAGGATGGTTATGTCTATATGTCCATTAAGGGCATGCGGCTTATCCTTCTGCAGGCATTGAGGGACGCCGAGTCTCCTCGACTCTCCTGAGTGAAAACTGTGAAGACTCTAAAATTAAATCTGTATTATTGAAGATACGTACCCTGTACTATTTAAAAATATATTTTGCTTTCTACTCGGCATACAATGCATGACTTGCAGTCATTAAGAATACGCCACGGTTAGGTTGGTTCTTTTGTTATGATAATAGGTTTTATTTCGTGGGTTTTTTTGTGTGTTTTACTTAAATCTGACCTCTATTTTTTTAAACTGTCTGTTTGTTAAAAATGAGAATGTATTTTTTTTTTTGCAAAAACTGCTAATTTGCACAAGAAATGAAGGTCAGATTTCAGTAAAACACACTGAAAAATGTCAAAAAACCCTATCCACATACCAAAATCTGAAAACAACCAATGGGCGAATATTTAACCTCCCAAAACCGCCCAGCTGGGTAGGCTAGCTGTGATCATCATGTTTCCATATTGATATTCCTGGATCTGCCCCTGATTTACCCTAAAATATATAGACCTGTTTTCAGCTGTACCAAGGTGATTTAGTGTTCCAATAGAGTGGGTAGGTTTGGCCTCTGGCTCTTCAAAAACACAATCTCTGGTTACTGCACAAAAGAGAGTTGTACGGACAATGACCTACTTGAAAAAACAGATCACACAAACGAAAAATTTGCTATATTGAAAATTTTAAAATTGAAGATATTAACACCTACTGCTGTGCCCTCTTTGTTTACAAATCTATCAATCACTTGCTTGACAATAATTATTTCCAGTTCCGGAATAATCAGAGATACAACTTAAGGCACCCAGAGCTACTAAGACCACCCCCCATGCACTCCTCTCAGTCCCAGACCTCCATAAAATATCATGGTGTGAAGGTGTGGAACAACTTACCCCCACCCATCCGAGCAAAGACTACGCTCCCTTCCTTTAAATCATCTCTTAAAAAATATCTATTGTCTAAGTATTAATATTTCTTGTAACACCTACTATATTTACAGTACCTGCTTTTATTGTACCATCAAAACCGTTTTATCGGAAATTATCATGTAAATAGATAAGTAATTACCATTGCAATAAACATAATTGCCAACTAGACATAATCCTGACAGCTCTGTCCTCTTGTTCAACCTTATTACTGTACAACCCATGTTGTACTGCTCCCCCATTATACTTATGTTTTTCAATTCCACTGTAATTTATATGTATATGTGTATATATATATATATATATATATATATATATATATATATATATATATATATATATATATATATATATATATATATATATATATATATATATATATATATATATATATATATATATATATAAAATAAACAAAAAATAAAATAAAAAATAAATAAATAAAATTAATAAATATTGAAGTGATAATCGTGGTAACATTATGAGATCTTATTACTACCATGCTATTGTACTATTCCAGATGATACTAAATGTTACATAATACTTCCTTGAGATAAATGTATAGCATATATCAGGTGCCTCATAGAGAGCTCAGGTTCTCAACTGGCTCAGCCATGTTAATATTATTATTATCCACTCTGTATCTGTGTTTTTCTGGCTAAATAAACTGTTTCAATTAAAATTCAATTCCTTTAGTCCAAGTTACCAGCAATTCGGTCAGCAAAGGTAGGTTAGGTCAGGTTAGGTTACCGTCTTTTGATGAGAAATTTTTTTTCTGGTATATTTTGGTGTATTATAGACATATATTTCCTTCATTTCTTGTGAAAATGGCCGTTTTTGGGAGTTTTGTAGATTTTCTAGAAAAAAAGGGCTCAAATACACAAGTAATCAAGGTAATATTGGACTAAAACAGACCAAAATAAACCAGGAAAAACAATTTATCATATCAAAAAGGAGAATTGGCGAAAAATAAACAATCACCCCAGTAAAATTGAAATAAACATCAGAAATTTGTAAAAACAAAATTACACAAGAAAAACACTAAATTAACACTACGGTAAAGCTGAAGCGAGTTTAAATAAGTATATTTAATCTATATTAATCTTTACAGAGTTGACAGATAGAAAAGAATAAATAAATACACAGATAATCAGTCAGTTAAATTATCATACATGTTTACAATTGGTTCAGCATGTATATAGACAAGGCAGGAATACATGTGTTCCCCTACAGTTTCTACCACACACACGGAACAAGCTGCTGTCTCGTTATTATCGTGTATAATGTACTGTTATGTTCATTCGATATAAAGTATTCAACAAATCACTCACCTCCTATTGTTAAAAAAATTCTACAACATTATGATCAAATGCGGCTTAGATGGTTGATACACCAAACGTTCTACTGCTACACACTCACAACAAATCCACGTGAATATTAACATGATATTGTTCATATATTTTTTTAAATTAGTCGAAATATACATCTTCCTTCTGCGTATTTAAAATATAATCATTACTTTCAGATAATCTATTCTGCTACAACGTAAGCTAAAAAATTATTATTATGTAACCACCTACTTCCAGATAATTTTTTTATATATACTGCTTTATAAAGGCTTTATAGGAATTTGGATATGAATTTCTTTAATTTTCTTGATTTATAAGCAAAGACAGACGGAAAATTAATATTCTTTAAGCTGGAACATACTTCACTCGGGGACACTCCAGTCCGACAGTGGTGTGACCAAGGCAATTATTTTCCTTGGATATACTTTACTTTTACTTCACCACTGATCGGCTCGTTAGCCTCTTGGGCGATCGGTCACGTCTCTGTTACGCACTGTTGGCAAGTACTGGGCATGCACCAGCTCCTGAATGTACCTGAACCCGCTCCAGTGTTGGTCAAGTCTTGTCTTGAAAGAGCTTACGCTCAGTGCGTCACAACACTTTCTGGTAGAATGTTCCAAGAGTTCACAACTCTCACTCCGAAAAAGTTTGTCCTCACGGTTTTCTGGACCTGCGGCTTCTTCAATCTTGAGCCGTGACCCTTTGTGGGGCGAGCGTCCGCCAGCTCCAAGTAATGACACTCGACTGAGTAGTGCCCCTTAAGATGCTTATACACCTCAGTTAGGTCACCCCTTGCCCGTCTGTAGTATAAGCTAGGCAAGTTCAGGCGCTCCAATCTCTCAGGGTAGCTGAGGTGCCGAAGTGCAGGCACCAGTCTGGTGCCCCTCCTTTGAACATTTTCAACCAACTGACAGTCCCTAGCATATCTCGGGGATCAGAAGGGGTGACAGTAGTCCAGATGGGGAAGACTTCACTGTTGAAGATCGTTACGAGGGACGGACCGTCTAGATATCTGAACGACCTTATAAGACCCAATAATTTATTTGCCCGATTTACCTTCTTCTCGCAATGGTCCGAGAACTTCAGCTCATTGTCAACATACACACTTAGGTCCTTCTCACATTCAGTCTCAAATAGTGCAGTTTCTTCATCCCGTTGGGACATATGATACGCCTCCTTACTATTGGTACGCCTCAGGTGCATCCTCTTACACTTCGTGACATTGAATCACAGCAGCCATTTCTTCGACCATTCCTGGAGCTCACAGAGATCCTTCTGCAGCTCTTCACAGTCCACATGGTTCTTGATTTCCCGAAATAACTTGGCGTCATCGGCATGTCATCGGCATGTCATTTATGAAACAAACAAACAACAGCGGGCCCAATACACTGCCCTTTGATTTAGTAGGCCACAGTTTGGGGATCTGTAGATACACCCGACAATAAGTAAGTCCCCTCCCTTAATTTAATTTTACACCACTTGGACTCTTCAAAAACATCCTCTCCCTGTACCCTCGCCTGGCTGGCTCAAGGTCTTGCCAAGTTGCCTATCATAGATAACCACACCCCTCTTGCAAGTTTGTTCGTAAAGGAGTCATATCCAGCAATACTGAACTTACATTCCTCTGGGTCGATTCTCCTGCTCTTGTACAGTTCTACATCTCCTACAATATCGGGTTGGTGTACCTTCAGTAGTGTTTCAAACTCCTCTCTCTCTTCAGTATTAGTCAGTGTACATGACATTCAAGCTAGAGTTTGTTCTGTTTTGTTTGTTTTATCCTTTTCACCACTGATCGGCTCGTTAGCCGCTTGGGCGATCGGTCACATCTCTGATTACTTTTCCTTTTCTTTTATCCTCGGTAACGTCTCTGCTCTTAGTAGTAACTCCGGCCCCCTCCATTCTCAGAAGCTGCAGCACTTGCCAAGTACACTATATTTTGCAGGGTGTGGTTAGAAATGTCATTGTTTACACGGCGTTCGCCTCCTCCCGGTTGGTAGGCGGAGCTGGTGTCACCTCCCGGGTGGGAGGGTAGAACAGGTGTAGGGTTCGCTGCTGCCTCCTGGCTCTGTGTCGGCACACTTGCTTCCAATATCTTTCCCCTGAATATAACCCATGTACACCAGACCCCGTTCCTCCTCGACTCCTCCCTCCTCTGCTTCAAGTGGAGCTTCTTGTGCTGTTCCTTCTGCATTACCGTGCGATCTGGGTGAATGAATAAACTCCGAGATGCCTCTCTCCTTGCTAAGTTTTTTGCCTGCTGAATAACCTCCCATTTCTCCTTTTCACTCACTAGTGTAATCCTGAGAGGGCGAGGCTTGTCTCCCTTCTTTTGTCCCAGCCTCCTCACATCCTAAGGGGTTGATGGCATCTTCAGAACCTCTGTACAAATATTCTTAAACTGCATCTTATCGTATGTTATCCTAATCTCAGTTCCCTCCGCCTGGCTCTCAGGGACTCCAAAAACTATTACATTGTTCCTTCGCTGGAAACGTTCCCGTTGTTCCTCTTCTCCCCTAACAGTTTGTCCGCTAATTGGCATTCCACACACTTCTTCAGAGTCCCTAGCTGCTGTAGAACCTGTTCTGATCCTGCATTACTCTCCGCCACCTCCCGTGGCCCTTCTAGGGCCTCAGCATAACTCCTCTTGGCAACCACCTACATTCTATCGGCTACTTCCTCAGTCTTAGCAAGGACCTCTTTTCCATCTTGTTCTAGTTTGGCAACCAGCAAGGATCCAGCTCCATCTATTTTCGTCCTTAGGGAACTCGTTCCCCTATGGCTTGCAATCGCCTCTTTCACCTTGACTATGCAATCAGGGCAATACCAGCAATTAAAAACGCGTGAGTAGGAGTATAAGACCTCAGGCTTGAAGATGGTAGTTACACAGATTCTGACCAGGATAAAGCTGAGGTATTGAACAGCTTCTTTTCCTTGGTGTTCACAAGAGAGGATGCGATTAACATTCCTGAGTTTGAAGACAGACGGTTCGATACAGCACTGACCCACATTGTGTTCACAGAAGAGGGTATTAGAAATAAACTGTCAAAGCTAAAGGTCCATAAAAGTCCCGGCCCTGAAATGCATCCCAGAGTGCTAAGAGAGTTGTGCAACGAGCTTGCCGAGCCCCTGAAGATCCGGTTTTGCAAATGCCTGGATGAACAAAAGGTCCCCAGTGATTGGAAAGTGGTTTATGTGAGTCCTATCTTCAAGAAGGGCGATCGTCACTCCACAAACAACTATAGACCGGTGAGCCTGACCAGCATAATATGTAAAGTATTTGAGAGTATTGTCAGAGATGCCGCAATGGAACATCTACTACGAAACAACCTTTAAAGGGTTGACAACACGGTTTTATGCCGGGGCGCTCCTGCTTAACACAATTGCTCAAGGTATTGGATATTTGGACCCATATTCTGGAACGGGGTGGTAATATCGACAATACATACCTAGACTTTGCCAAGGCTTTCGACAATGTAACCCACTAAAGGCTGAAAATCAAACTGGAAGGGTACGAAATACGGGGAAATGTCCTAGCGTGGATAGAAGACTTTCTACATGATCGCAAACAGTGTGTGGTGATTAATGGCACGAAATCATCATCTGTACATGTCACAAGTGGGGTACCACAGGGCAGTGTATTCGGCCCGATGTTGTTTTTTTAATAAATGATATGCCTGACGTTGTACTATCCTCCATACAAATGTTTGCCGATGACGCGAAGTTATTTCGGGAAATCAAGAACCCTGTGGCATGTAAAGAGCTGCAGAAGGATCTCCGAGCTCCAAGAATGGTCGAAGAAATGGCTGCTGAGATTCAATGTCACGATGTGTAAAAGGATGCACCTGGGGCGTACCAACGGTAAAGAGGCGTATCATATTTTTTTTTCATCCTCTTCACCACTGATCGGCTCATTAGCCGCTCGGGCGATCGGTCACGTCTCTGTTACGCACTGTTGGCATCCGCCAGCTCCAAGTAAGGACACTCGACTGAGTAGTGCCCCTTGAGATGTTAAACACCTCAATTAGGTCACCCCTTGCCCGTCTGTAGCATAAGCTAGGCAAGTTAAGGCGCTCCAATCTCTCAGGGTATTTGAGGTGCCGAAGAGCAGGCACCAGTCTGGTGGCCTTTCTTTGAACATTTTCTACTGTTACGAACCACGCCATCAATTGTCATGATCTACCTACCCAGCACCACGAGCATCGCCATCTAGGGACGAAACCCGAGTATGACTACTCTTAGTTACCACTCCGGGGTTTCCCTTCTCCATATCCACTGATGCTGAAAGCATAGCCATCCTCGCGGGCATTCATGAGGGGGCGACCTATGCTCGCACTGAACGCCGGAACCTCCTTATAATCAGTGACAGCACTTCTGCGCTAGCGAGGCTCAAATTACCCTCCCCCTCCTCCCCTGCCGCCCAACACACCCTAGCCGCCGTTGCCGGGCTAGAACAAACTGATGACATCCGTGTCAAGTTTCTTTGGATCCCGTCACATATAGGAATAACTGCCTGTGACACTGTTGATCGGCTTGCCAAAGAAGCTACACAAGAAGAAGATACTGAAGCCACTCTCGCCCTCTCCCTGAATCATCTCAAATCTCGCATACACGCCACACAACGAGAGGCATTCAACGAAAATTGGACACACCTGAAACAACGGGGTAGCGTCACACTATGCCACTATGACGCTGTAACCGGTGACGACAACCGCCACTACAAAGAATATCAATCCCTGACTCGATCTCAACAGCTTATATACATGAGACTGCGCCTAGGGTACAGGTACCTATGGGAGTACATTGGCAACCCTGAGCCTCACCGCACTGTTTGTAAACTTTGTGGCCAACCCGACTCTCACACCCTCTCTCACTACATCCTCACTTGCCCTATGACCTCCTCCTACAGGTCCCCAGCCGTTACCAACACCTCTTCCCTCCCAGACCAGATATCCCTCCTCCTTGTCACAGGCCTGGCATTTGACATTATTAGGGACCTGCCACTCTTTGCCATAAACAGATAAAATGTACCGGGAACTTTCCCCCCACACACTCATCATTCTCTCACTTTATGTAACTTGACAGAACCTATGACCCTTCAGGCTTTTACGCCCTTAATGTACGAGTCATAAAGGCAAGTATGAACTTTTCATACTTCCCTGTTGGGCGCTGTAAACACTTCTGCGCTTCACCTTGCACAGGATGTAAGGGGGTGCCCAATAAACTAGCCCCCTCGGGGGCAAATCTGAATCTGAATCCTTCTCCATATCCTGGTTGTTGCGTCACCTCCTCAAAGTCTTCCTCATCAGCTATAGTTCGATGAGAGGTCAGTGAACTCTGGGAAGTGACCACAGGATCACCTATCCTGGAAACCTACGGCACAGTGACTACCTACCGTCTTCTACAATACTCAGCCTTACTCGTCAGCCATCTCAGCTCCGCACTTCAGTATTTGTAATCTTATATTGCCTCCCCACCTCTACCTTTCTTCAAATTATTGTATGTTGTATAAATATGTATATACTGTTAATGTTTAGGTTAAGTATGGTTAAGGGTAAATTATAGAAAGCTGAATATTTTTTTAAGGGATTTATGGTACTTTATTATACACAACAAAAACTCGCATCCTTTGTCTACCCTTTTATAGTCAGATTGTCTTTGTTGTTTTTTTTTTTTTGTTGCCTGTTGGGATCTGGGTAGACTTTTAACTATATTCTAAATCCCCAACTCGTAACACTACCAACTGACAATCCGGAGCATATCTCGGAGACCAGACGGGGTGACAGTACTCAACACGGGGAAGCACTTCACTCATGATGATATCTGAACGACCTTCTTATGAGACCCAATAATTTATTTTCCTGATTTACCTTATCGCAATGGCCCGAGAACTTCAGCTCCTTGTCAACATACACACCGAGATCCTTCTGCAGCTCTTGACAGTCCGCTTGATATAAGAATTATGGCTCCGTTATCCACTTAAGTGTGTCTTGTGTTAATCCAGCAAAAAAGTCACAGGAAAAAAGGCACGGAATAAACCTAACTTAAACTAACCTACGTGCAATACCATCATATACATAAATTATGTTGCTGTTTCAATTCAATTCAAATTCAATGTGTACAAGTCATACTTTTATCCTTTTTTTTTTCCTGTGACTTTATTTCCATTCACTTCTTGTATACCTGCATTATCTTATATACACGATGAATCAATGTAAATTTGAGTGATTTTACTGATTAAATATATATATCTTATAAATGCATCAGACATCAGAGTGAGGGACTAAGGCTCAACTGTTCTTGCTCCTCTAAACAAACATCATGGCTACACGTGGGGCTGATGGTTGTAAGTTTAAGAAAAAGAAAAAAGACAATTTCCTTCGACAAGCTAAGAGACACGCGAAAAGGGGTAACTTTGGCTTAGGGAAAAGATTATCTGAAGAAGAGTATAATTATTATATGCGTGTGTTTGAGCAGCTGAAACATGTGGATGGTGAAGAAAAAGGTATGGTATGATTGACTTTCCTTTAGATTACTTGGGTTATTTTTTTGTTTTAGATTACCTTATGTTTGATTACTTGACATTCCGGTAATACTGTAAGTTTGTATGTCAATTACCTACCCGTTACTTGAATTTTTTTTATGGAAGATGAAATAGTTTTGCAGTTTGGGCCAATACATGGATGATTGTTTTAACCATCTCCAACCTTTAGATCTCCTTATTTGGAGTATTTCTAACCCCATTTCAACCAGGGAACAAAGAATAAAACTTCTGAAATGAGTTATAAAGTTTTCCATATTTGTTTTATTTTTTTTGGAGGGGGGGGGGGGGATAACTCCAAAACAGGTACTTTGGTAAATTTATAGTAGTTCACACGGGTCCGACTAATTACCCAAATGTAGCCAAATGTAGCCGGAATGAAGTCAAATAATGGTCCTAGATGAATTAATTGGACTGCCAATCACTTCTCGACTCGTATTTGGTGTCACGAAGTCACAAAAAATTGGTAAACTTAATTTAATCTGAGTTAATAGATCGAGTGCATGTACCTAACCTAACCTAACCTCGACTAGTATTTGGTGTCACGAAGTCACAAAAAATTGGTAAACTTAATTTAATCTGAATTAATAGATCTAACCTAACCTAACCTAACACAACACAACTCAGATTAAATTAAGTTTACCAATTTTTTTTTACTTTATGACACCAAATAATAATCAAGAAGTGATTCACAGCCCGAATTACGCTTGTACGACCATCATTTGACTTCATTGCGGCTACATTTGGGTACATTTGGGTAATTAGTCGGACCCCCATATATACATGGCGGAAATGGATAATAGTGACACAATTGAATTTAATTGATTTTAAGTAGTTTTCAGTCTTCGTCTGTGAGATGATGTTATCGGTATATCACGCATGCGCAATGTTGACTGTAGTCATCCAGTCATGACCAATGAGGTGTCAATATCTTCATGCAATTTTTTTCGACCAATTAATTACATTTGATTTTTTTTTTTTTCAAAGGAAGCAGCCTGGGTAATTTTATTGCCCAGTCTTACACTGGCTGTGGTGGAGGTTGGTTGTCATTTGTACTCCTACGATTATTTTAAGTTTATTGCCGAGTTTTACAAGAAAGACGATCATTCTATCCAATTCTTACGTATCCCTGGTCCTCCCACTTTTAACTAAGGTATTGAATTTTCGGACATGGCACGCCCCAAAGTTTTTAACTACTGAAACATTTAGTTTAGTTTAAGCTAGGCCTACTGAGGATCCAGGGGCAGAGCCCCCGGCTAGGGGTCAGGTTAGGCTTACCGGGTGTCTGGGGGCGGAGCCCCTGGCCTGGAGTTAGGTTAGTTAGGTTAGGTTTTGTTAGGTCAGTTGACTTGTTTTCGTTTTCTCCCCCACCCAAAAACCCTGATTAATGTTGGGGGGGGGGGTGCAAAAACGAGCAATTTCAATTAAGGTCAGATTCGTTTAAAACACACCAAAATACACTGGAAAAACATATTGGTCAACCCCTAGGGACTCGTGTCCTAAAGTAAAAATTTACCCCTTTTTTTCTAGTGTTTTTGTGTGTTTTGATTGGTTCTGACCTTGATTTCCGTCGGAAATTGCCTGTTTTTTAGTTATTGCCCCCGTCTACCCCTAACAAGATAGGGGACCCTGTTGGGAACAGGGGTTTTGGGTGGGGCAGAGAAACAAGCATTTTCTGACAAAAATCATGGCCAAGTGAATACAATACACCAAAAAAACACTAGAAAACATATAAACCTAACCTTTTTTTTGGATGACCTAACCTAACCTAGCCTGACCTAACCTACTCTACTGCAATGCCACCATGTTGGTTTTGACGATATTTACACTCCTTATTACACTTAGAACACTTTACTGAGGTTGGGAGAACACCATGAGATCTATAAAATGCTATAGCTGGTTCGTGTTTTTCCCCAAAACGCTCAATTAACTCCATATAATTGAAGTGACACCCATCGCAGACTTCCATAGTCGGAAATGAATTTGAATTTCGAAGCATGAAACCCAAAATCACAATCAAATCTGATTGGGCAAAAAATACAGCTAATTCTATAAGCAGAAACCACAATTAATTTTAATTGGTGTAAAAAAAGAAGAATGCTATTGATTGGCTGCGTGACGTGTACGGGAACGCATGCGCTTGGCGATTTATGAAGGGAAGATTAATGGAATTAAATAGAGAAAGATTTGGCATGCGCTATCTCCGTTATTATACGTTTCCTACGGTAATGTAATAGAATAAAGTTATCTTAAAATTTGACGTAGGAATGATGTGTGAACTACCATAAAAATACTGGTACTTTCCCCCGGAGGTAAGGGTCAAATTTGACTGTCACACCAAAATACACAGGATAAACTAATTTCTAAACTACTAGGGCATATTGGCTAAAACTGCAATTTTACCTTTATTTTAGATAGTTGTCATATGACTTGGTTCTTAGCACCTAACAAATCCCTGATACTGTACTAAATAATTTAGGGAAAGCAGATCAGATGATGTCATAATTTCTTATGGTGTATATACTCCTCAGTACAGTACTGAACTGATTATCCACATCTATGAGAGCTTGAATTTATTTTCCTGCTTATGGATCTTTGTGACTATTTTTTAAAACTTTTAAAATTTTTCAGAGATTTTGGTGAGAAATTTTTTTTATGAATTGGAGCGAGAGGGACAGGTGAAGAGTTTAGCAAGTAACCAGGTTATATCCCGTATTCTTGATGATGCTCTGCCTCTAGCTGACATCAAGCAAGTTCAGGCACTGTCTCAGGTCTTTGCCACTGATCTCCGACCGACATGTATTGATCCTTATGCTTCACATGTTCTGCAGACTTTACTCACACTTTCATTAAAGTATGGACAGGTAATTAAATTAATTTGTTTTGGTTTATGAATGTCTTTGGGGTAGTTGTCAATAATTACAATGTCTTTTATACAGTGCAGTTACAGTACAGTATTAGGTAAAGTATGAGAACACCTCTACCACCAGAAGGAGTTGTTCGATAAATTGTTAATTTTTTCCACAGATGTTCTTATTCCTATTATAGTAAATATTTAAAAAGAGGTAACATTTACTAGAACCTGACCTGACCTTACCAACCAAAGCAAACTACCTAACCATACTAACTTCCTAGCCAGGGGGATCTGTCCCCCATCATATTAAATAGAAAATAATTATTTTTATATTTGGTACCAATGAAAGCAACTTTGTTGAAGCATCATGGTGTAATTTAAATGTTTTTCTGGATTTGACAGTATGCCTAGACCGAGTGGTTCGGTTATAACAGAGACATGCTGTAACTCGGCATATTTTTCAGAGGAGTATTTACAGTAAATAATTAATTTCTTCATGTACAAAGCACGTGGAGACATCATTTTAGTGTAATATGATAAGTTTTTCACTGTTTATTACCCAGCAATTTCTCTTGTACTTCATGCCTTGCCCACTACAGGTGATTATGATCATAGATAAAGAGACAAAAAAATTATAATTAAAATAAATAGTTGTCGCCTCTTTTAAAATACCTACTAGTATAATGATAAGAACATCAGTGGAAAAAATGAACGTAATTGAACAACTTCCTTCTGGTGGTAGAGGTTTTCTCATAAATTACCCAGTATTAAAGACAGCTGTAATGCAATGCAGTATTTTATTTAACCACAAACTTACTTATGTATAGTAATTAAATTTTTCCTTTCTTTTGTGAAACTTAAACTGTTTACGTATTTTGAGGATTTAACATTGCATCTCTTAATTTATTGCAAATGAAAGGATTTAATATATATTTTGTTTATGGCTAGAGAGGTGCAGTGCAGAAGCGATGTGAGGAAAATGATGAAGGAGAGACTAAGGAAATAATAATTGAAGTTACTGATGAACAAAGAGAGGAATTTAACACCTTCATGAATAAGGTATGTGTTGCGGTACAAAGCCACTTTTTAATTCACCCCTCCCATAACAAATTCTTCAGCCTGTTTAATAAGGAAAATTACCTTAAAAGTTCAAACTTACTATTTATTTGCAAAAGTAACTAAAGGTGATGACGGAATTTTATACAAAATATTTACTACAAAAGAAATTGGAAAACTCAAGTACAGGTAGTAATAAATGAACATTAAATCCTAACCATCACACTATAATATATAATCACTAAATCCTAAACATTGCCATATAGAATATAATAACACTGGGGTCTAGAGCAATAAGAGTACACTAACACTTGATGCTTATGGTTTAGGAGACCAGATGTTGACTTCACAGCCTATACTCAGTAACTGACTGGGGCACACCAGATTTTCCACCTCCCTTCCAGGACCAATCGCAGGCCTCCACATACTATTGTACCAAGGCCGCCGAGTTATACCCCAGACTGACTGATGGCCAGTGCCATCTTGTGACCATAGTCTTCCCTACACAAACTGAGAATTAGTTTATCATAACATATGACTTGTACGCTCACTTTTGTTACTGTATCATCTTCTCAACTAAAGTGCAATGTTCAGTAGATGTCTTCAGTACTACTTACTTGCCTTCACCTTTCTCCTCTTTGAAGCAAAGGGTCATTGTACTTACCTTCTGTGTTAACTATCAGGTTCTTTATACTTATTGACAATGCCCTCGGTAATTTTGCATCACCATGAAGTAATATGAGAATAATCTACCACTATTATTTTCTTTCATGTTTTGGGAGGGGAAGGGGGTTCTAATTCTTAATCAATATTGAAGCAAAAAAAATACTTCTTTGGCATTCTTCTTTACCTCTTCCATATGAAATTTACCTACAAGTGCACCTGTTTTCTTCTCTTTAAAGCTATCAACAGGAAGTAAGCAAAGAGTGCATGCTGACTTCTCTGACTCCTTCTCTAACACTAAATCAATGAGTAGGTTTGATTAACAGCAGCTTTTTAATGCCAGTACATTGTATTTACATCATTGATGTCGATTTTCTCCAAGATATCAGCAAGTTTTGTAGTTTACCTTACTCTATGCTTTTTTCAGAATCTACAAAACAGATATGCAATTTCTTGTAACCTTAAAAGCCCTTACACTTCAACTCAAACATGAGATGCTTCACTTAGTGTTAAAAGGTAGATAATTTATGCATAGAAATACATGTATGGTGCAGAGAGTCTTAGTGTTCTGATATTTCTGTTTGAACCATTATAAATCGTGGATGCATAGGATACAGAGAATACTCAGTTTGGAAATACAAAGATGTAGAAGGAAACGAAATTCCAGACAGAGGGCTAAGGTGTAGATAGAATGGTGATTGAATGACTGGTAAAAAAGAAATAAAATTCAGGAATAGATGATGGGAAGGGAGGAAAAGACCAAGGAAAAGGTGGAAGAGCAAGAGTGAAGAAACTATTGGATAGATGACTGATATAGGTACACTCACCAAAAACTTCTCGAAGACTATAAGCAATCTGCAATATGAAAAATGAATGAAGAATCTAAAACCATTCCACGATGACAAGCACCATTCTGCTCATTCTTACATTCATCGTGTTCAAGAAGTTTTTGTTGAGTGTACATGTAGGAAACAGCAGAGTGTAAGCATGATAGGAGAGTGGTGTTGAGTGGTTTATGAGGATGGGTATATCGCTATTGAATGATGGACATGTTGGGGCCATATAGTTGATAAAGAACACCATAACATAACACATTTGTTACTGCAATTAGAGAAAATGAACGACTGGCAACAGAAGAGTGAATCTGTTACCCTTGATCTGACAAACTCATGACATGTAGGAACTTATTTACAAAAATAGAAATGTTGTACTTTTAGGTTATAGAAATGTATCTTAATAGGATTTATACACGTTTAAGGAGTGGTGATAGTTTGCTCGTATGATACTGTGCTTACATCTTACATATACTGGGTACTTATATTTTTTTCTTTTGTGTTTGACTTGCCATTGTAGGTGGGACGATTTGTATACAATAACTTGGAAGACTTTGTGTGCAACACATATGCCAGTCATGTCATACGCACTGTATTAGAAATATGTTCGGGTGTGGAACTTCAAGATTCTGTAAAGAGCAGTCATCGAGCACAAACTACACATGCCCTGCAAAAAGAAGTGGGGAAGTTCATCACAGTTCCTTCTAAATTGAAGGAGTTGCTACATGATATTGCTGTCAGATTCACTAAGTTACCAAACCTTTCAGGTAAGTCCTGGCTTATTCACCTATATACAGTATTTCCATTGTGCAATTTGCCAAATTTTAACCAGTGCCTGTTTTGCAAAATTATTAGATTTTGTGATTACTGCACATTTAACCTTACTTCATTTTAGGAATCTTTTTGTTTAGTCACTTCTTCTAACCTTGTTGATCTTAATTAGATTTTAATTTTACTTCATTGCTTCATATTTCAATTTCTTTATCACACCCTTAACTATTGTATTTACTGTACTCTGAATGTTGTTGTTCTTCACTCTTGTTGCTGTCCAAACTCTGTTAACTCCATCCCAAAGTTAATGTCAACATTTTGTTGTGAGCTCTCCAATTCTGATAGTATAATCATTCTCACATCCAGTCATGACATTGGGTTGCTTCAGGTGATCATCTACATGGATTTGACTTATACAGTATTTCAAGGTCAGGACTGAGTTAGTTTTCTGGATATCCAGATGGAAATTTTTGCTAAAATTTTGTCTTATAGTATACTTCAGCTACTTAGAGTGCGTTTTTTCTCAGCTGAGAAAAGATGCCCCGCCCCCTCATCAAGCATTTTTTCCGCCTCTGCTGACGGCCGTGTAATATTTCAATGTGATTCTGATCTTTTAAAATTTTGTTTTTTGCATAATGTAGTATTACTGATACGTAATTTGTCATACTATGCCTTAGTGTGGGTAAAAATAAATACAGTCAATCTCACATTACGCGGTCCCGCATTCCGCGTTTCACCGTTAACGCGGTGCCTTGCCAGAACCTAACATGCTCACATTCCGCGGTCGTGAACCCCATTACGCGGAGAGCGGCTGGCAAGCCGCGCCATTTTTGGATCCAAACCTCCCGCCATCCGCCATGTTGTGTAAGAGGCGCGAAAATGGTGCGCACAAGGTCGCCCAGTCATCAAAACATTACCGAGTTCTTTACCCGCCACCCACCACAACCGGCCCAAGTCAGTGATAGTGATAATTATAGTGAGGATATGGACTTATATGGACTTTGAGGGGTTTAACAAAGAGGCCCTGCAAGCCTCTGTGGTGGATAGTGATACAATTGATACCAGTGATACAGGTGAGGGCCAATAATCTGCCCTCTGCCTCGGAACCAACCCCCCATCCCCGTGTGCCCAGCCATCTTTTCTACTAATGTAAGTGTTAAAAAACCTAATATTATTGATATTTCTCTTAATTATTAATTGTGTGTGCATGCCATCATAAAGTTAAGATAATATTTTTACTACAACATAGTTGTGTGTCGTCAAAAAGTGGAGTTTGGGGATCGGCCTGGACTCCATTTCAATTAATCCCATATGTTATGTTATTCACTTTACGCGTTCCTCACTTTCCGCGGTACCCTCCGGGTTACATTAACCGCGTAATGTGAGACCCAACTGTATATATTAAATACATCCTCCAAAAGTGTGAATTTGATACCAGAGTTTAACAGTTAATTCATGTATAATACTTCTAATAAACTTCCTACGTGCTTATGTTTGAAATAATGAATGTATGTATCTTTATATAATTTAGCTAAATATCTTTCTCGTCAGAAACGGTCATCCCAACGATTATGAATAAACTCATTTAGAAATACATCATTAATTCAGGACAAAATCGGACAGGTTTGCAACAGCCAATCAGTTGTAACTTTTGAGGAAGGGGCGGGGCATCTTTTCTCAGCTGGGAAAAAATGCGCTATAGTGGGAGAAACTTCCACAAAACTGCACATTAGAATTACAGTATATACCTGTACCACCAAAATGAAAATGGGAAAATGCTTGAAAACATTTTTCTATGATTTTGTCAATTAATCTAATTTTTACTTATGCTTATGTATTGTTTCTACACCAATTTGTCCATTTTATTTATTTACAGTATTTATTTTGATAAATGCAGCTGTTGCAAGTTTTCCCTTTTGGTTCTACTTTAATTAATTCAAATTTATTGTTTGAAGGACAGGGTAAAGTGCATTGCCAGTATGACACTTGAAGGATGATATCAAAATACTTGGTAAATATCCTTACAATGGTTGTTATTCTGACCTGAAGATGTACACTCTCACCAAAAACTTCTTGAACGCTTTAAGCACTATGCAATCTGAAAAAAAGAATAATGAATCTGAAACCATTCCGAGATGACAAGCCCCATTCTGCTCATTCTCACAGCCATCGTGCCCAGGTGTTCGAGAAGTTTTTGTTGAGAGTGTACCTATGGCCTTCATGTACAGTTGTATCTGGGAAAATTACAAGGAATACATCTGAGGGTAAATAAGTAGGAGTGTACGTTACTGAATATTAGGACATACTGTAGATAAACCAAGTGAATGTTTATGTGAGGAGGAAGTGAGCATAGATGATAGCAAAAGATACTACTGTTCTGACAGTAACAGGTAGATGATTGTGATGGTAGAGTGATTACATATGTTTGAATTGTTATGGGAAGGTGAGAATAATGTTTCATCCAAGAACACAGTTTATGTTTTAATGATCTTAGAACAGTAAACAAATCACAAATAAATGTTTTCTTCGCTTTCAGAAATAATCCAATATGACTGTGGTTCAGCAGTGTTACAGTCTCTGCTCATGGTTTTAAGAGATGTTGAAGAGGAACAGTGTCAAACATTAGTGACTCATATTCTGCAGCATGGCTTGACTGGGGTGTCTGCTTATTATGATGATGGTAGCAATTATGAAGGTGTGCCTGTTGGTTTGCCTACACTGTTCCAAGATAAACCAGCCTCACGCCTGCTGGAGGTACTTAAGTGCTTCTACATTTGTTGCTGTAGCCATTGTTTAGATGGAGAATTGTGTAGGCAGTAAATAGTAGGAATTGTAAAATAGTGCAGTTAAAAAGACATTAGATCATCATTGAATATGACTGGTAATTTAAAAAAGTGATTGGGCCTTAGCCTCTTAAGTATCTAGCTTGTATCAAGTTCTCTGTTTTTTCAAAGGTATGTACACTCGTCACAAAAACTTCTTGAATGCTCTAAGGGTCATACAATATGACAAAACGAACGAGAAATCTGAACACTACTCTCTGAGGAAGCTTTGTTGCAAATTAAATTACGGTGCTTCTTTTCACCTGTAAATACTATAAATTATGAAGACAAGCAACATATATTATTATGAAATATTGAGTCACTTCGCAACCAGGCATACCAACCATTCTGAGATGACACGGACCTTAGTACTGTACTCATTCTGAAATCTGTCGTGCCCAACTGCTCGAGAACTTTTTGTGGTTAATGTACATGTACATGTACAGTATATGTTTACATAAGGCCCCCCCCCCCAAATTCGCGGGGTTAGGTTCTCAAAATGGCTGCGAATCACCAAATCCACGAATAACATTTGCAGAGGGGGGGTACATTTTTATTTGTGTACAAAAAAATTTATATTCCCTTTATGTGTTTGCTCTTAGGGCAATTATTTCTTATACCTGTAGTATTGTGCGTGTGTGTGTGTAGACACACACACACATTCAAATAAATGATAATTGGAAAAATCCTCTTACAAATAATCAGAAACATATTTATAAAAAATGTGACAGTCTTCCCTCAAATTCGTGCTCTATTAATGAAGTACTGAATAGAGCATGGAATTGAGGGTAGACTCACATTTTTAATAAATTTGTTTCTGATTATTTGTGAGAGTATTTTCCCATTATTATTTATTTGTATGTGTTTTGTGTGTGTGTGTGTCTACACACACACAAAACACATATTTACAATACAGGTAAAAGAAGTTACTGTCTCTAGAACGAATAGTTCCCTGTCCCAGCCGCGAAAATGCCGGCAACTTTAAAACTACCCACAGACATTCTTGGGTACATCCAGGGTGTCATCCGTGATTAACCGAGGACTGCGAAGTAAAAATTCGCGAAATTGGGGTGGCCCCTGTACTGTTTCCATTTGTCTACATACCCAAAACACACACACAATTGGACTCATAGGTACAGTCTTATATTTAGGTTACTGGCAGCTAAATTGTCATCAACTTTTCAAACTCATTTATTATTTTCCACTTAAAAAAGATTGAAGTTTACGTTGCTTGTATGAAGGTCTGGCCCGCAGGATGTAGGGCTCGGCAAATCAGCCTAACGCTCTCTTAAAAATGGAATACAGTACAGTATAATAAAAAATGCCCTTTGCATCTCATTGGACATATAGCGTTGTTTGCAGTACTGAACCTTATTACTTAGTTTATAAAAACTGGGGATTCTTTAATTATTGCATACTGTGTTCTGCTCTTTCAGGTCATGATAATGTCTTCCACAGCTGAACAACAAAAAGAAATTTTCCAACAGTATTTCAAGGGAAATATGAAGACGCTAGTTCAACATCATTCAGCAAACTTTGCTGTACAGAAGCTTTTGTCATCTTGGAAAGAAAAAGATACGGTACAGTAAAGTTTCAGATTGTCTTGAGTAATTTACAGGGTTTTGGTAAGTTTGACAGCACTGTATAGGTATTTATGCATCTAATCATGCATAGTTAATCTTGTAAGGATAATTGATTTAGAATGCTTTTGATTATAGAATTATGGACAGTTATTGACATGAAAATTAGGAAATCAAGATGGAATATTATAATTTTCCCTTAACCTTGCATTTGTTAATCCAGCATACAGATGTTATAAAGATAGGAAGCTGTAAATTGATGATATGAAAGACAAAATTCTATGCATTTAGAGATGTAACTATTTGGGTTGTCTTTGGGGTTCAAGTCATAGGAACAGTTTCTGGTCATCCCTACATTTATGATGGCGACTGGATAAACCTTGTATAGTGGAGATGAGTGAAGAGAGATCATTACAGGGGAGAAAACTGATTAGATCTTTGGTGAGGAATATTGAGAGGGGGAAATATAACCGTAGATATACGGTGCAGGGTTGAGGTAGCATAGTCCATAAAACTAAAACCTTATGATTTAATAGGGGGATGCATTTGGTGATAGCATATGAGAAAACACAAGGAGTAAGTAACTACAAAAATGTAACGGTGAATTAAATATAGTCAACAATCTAAACATTTTAACTTGTGTGAGTTCACTGGCGGTGGTCACATGGGTCAAAGGTAAAGGTCTCCTCCTTGTTGATAGACTATATCTCTCCATAGTACCTCATCCTTCATGCCTGGCTGTCTGTTCTATCTATTTATTTTTGTCTGATTAGATGTGCCTGTAGGTTGTTTCATTGTATTTCCTCATGCGTCAAAATTAACATTTACATTATATTGTTGGGTGTGTCTCATCAGAAAGAAAAATGCTGTAGCTGTTGGAAAAATCAATGTATTCACAGACTGCTTCACTCATCTTCTGTTAAATGCCAAGAAACATTAACATTTTACTTAAAAAATTATTATGACGAATTTGTTTCATAAATGGGAAAAAGACTAATTGTAAACAGAAATAGCGTAAGTTGGACGTGATGATAAACTGTTTCACTGTCCGTGCTAATACAATACAATATTAACATTACTTTTGGGTTAGGTAGGATATAAATTTTGGTGCATTGGCCCGCAGAAAAATACCTAAATCATAATGCGGCCCATGACTGCGGAAAGGTTGCCTATGCCTGGAGTACGTTATGTATGACTGAGCTAGAAAATTTTGGATTGTTGAGTTTTGATGAATTATTGTACCAATTGTAATATTTTCTTTATCTACCCAGTAACACAAAGATTATTTATTCCTTCAGTTTGGGGAGCTGTTTGAAGAAGTGTGTGAAGCATTAGAAGCAGCAACTGAGGCTCAACATATGGGTGTGGTTCATGCACTTAGCCAGGCATGTCGCAGACTCTCCGCTTCCCAGTCAAGATGTATGCAGGTAATACAGTACAGTACTAAGGATCTTTAAGGGGTACTTTTGTTATAGAGCAGTGGTTCACAAGCATTTTCTAGTGCAACCCTGTCTAGTACTGTCACCTATCCAGTGTGACCTCAAGTCATTACATACAGTATGCTGTATATATGAAGATTCTCAGAGTAAATACGGACATATTGATATATGTATTTAACTTTAAAAATGATTAAGGAAAACGTTTTACAAATTGAGAAGTCTAAAAGTAAACACTGGCAGAAACAGTCCTCTGTCATGTTTAATATGTGACATTATATGATCATTTAACATTCTATATGTGGGAATATAATTACATGGTTAAGCAACATAATATATAAAATTTTCATAGTTACATCTCTGTCATACTGTACGTGACTTGTGTGCATCATCATATAATTAATTTTCATTACAGGTTACATCAGTCATAATTTATATGTAATGTGTGTGCATTATCATTTAATAAATTTTCTGTTAACTGGGGGTATAATTATGTGATTAAACAACATAACACGCTTCTCTAAGTTTAAGCTTGATATATGGTTACAGTGATAATTTTTTATAAACACCATTGACGAGAAAGCTGCCTCACAGACTTCCAAATTATATCAGAACTTTAATATCTCGATATTTAGCCGCTGAATGTCAATTTGATAAATACAGTCGACCCTCGTTAATTCGGACCCCTTTAATTCGGATTTCGGATAAATCGGACGAAATCTGAACTGTCCATATCAAATTTCTGGTTCTGGAATTGTCCCAGTTGCAATTGGGGTTGCAATTTCAAATTCTGTGTCATTACTAAGAAATAAAGAAGTCACTGGTGTACTGCACTCTAAGATTAAGAGAAAACGGACGACTCAGGCATCCTGAAGTGAGAGAAAACGGACTTCTTTGACGGGGCACTCAAATAAAGAGAGATATAGCTACATGTTTTGTGGACTACCCACTGTACAGTATCCTTTTCATCACTTTGTAATAAACCTCGTCATGCCTATATGTTTCTGATAATTACCATCACATTATATATTTAGCGGTTGTACAAACACAAGGCCTCACACATGCCATTCAGACTGACAGACTTGACAAGTTTTACTAACCATAAAGACAGTTGAAGCTTTAAACATCACTCACAATGGATCTTGAATATTCCAACTGTAATCAGACATACCTAAGTTGCCTCAATAATTGCAGCCCCAGTTGCAATTTCAAATTCTGTGTCATTACTAAGAAATGAAGAAGTCACTGGTGTACTGCACTGTAAGATTAAGAGAAAACGGACGACTCAGGCGTCCTGAAGTGAGAGAAAACGGACTCCTATGACGGGGCACTCAAATAAACATACACATAGCTTTATAATGCAATATTATGCAATATTAACCCCTAAATCGGTTAATTTGGACAATCGGCTAAAACGGACACCCTTCCCCCCCTATTAGTCCGTATTAACGAGGGTCGACTGTAACCCAAAATATTGATTTGTCATCATGGATGGTAAAAATCACCCTTGCCTCGTTGTCAGCCTGTAATTCTGCTATTTCGAGGACAAAGGAGCCACACTGAACAGAAACTGAACAAAATCCAAAGATTCAGTAAGCAACTCAAGGAATGTATCATTGAAATTTGTTGCCATTTTTTGTCTGCATCCATGGGAAGTACAGCGTGCATTGAGCTGAGAACAATTCAAAGGAAGGAGTGTGAATTTTCTTCAGCTTAACGTGTCATCAGCGTTTGCCTTCCCTGGACTAACCTGACTTGACACAAGGAGAGTAACTGCTCTATTCCCTTGACCATAATTTATGGTCCCGATTTAACGAGACAGCACCTGTAGGCCACGTCCTTCAGTCCTTGACATCTGGACTATGAGCTTTATGGGAATCATTACAATGCATCTTGCGAATGCGACCCCGTGTTTGGAGATGATCTATTTAAGTATAATTGAAAATATTGAGAAAAGGATATTCATTGGCAGGAGGATGAGGATAGTATCTTTTGTTAAAATAAGATTGGTAAGTAAAATTTATTGTTTGAATGCAGTTGCTTTTTTAATGCTGAAGGAAGACTGGTTTCCTTTTTAGTTTTGTCAAGTCACCTCGGTTGACTGACTGATTGATTTCGGGAAGTTTTGACCAACACTCAATGAAGTAGCTTAAAACTTGATTTCAGCTGTTTTGTAATGGAAAGTTGTGAGGACCAAAATACAGAAGTGAAATGTGTGAAGGTTTTGAATTTGGAAAATTGGATTAGTTCATATTGTCAATTTGCTTAAAGTCAACATAATCATTATTATTATTTTAAGTTCACTTGTCTCAGAAATTTAGGGTACTAAGTTCAGTTCCTCGTAGGGTACATGGAGGTTCCCTCCTTGTACACTTCACTTTGCATATGCAGCAGTAGAATAGAGCACGCTATCTGGTGTGCTTGTTGCTGGTGCAACAACCCTTTAGTGGACAGTCATCCTGCCTAGGAGATGATGTAACACACTAGTTGCAGGATGATAAGAATTGGAGAATCATTTCTTTGCTTATGTGAAAGGTTGTTTTTTTTTAAAACCTTACTTTTAACTAATGACCCTTCATAGAACTAGAGAATTGAATACAGTATCTCTTTTCTTGCTTGTTAGTTAGTGTTCCTGATAGAGAAAATGAAGGAGCAATATATAAATGACAGTAATACCACTCTCAAGCATTTATATTAAAAGTGGTATAATTTGCTTCTCTAGGCTTTGATGCAGTTACTTGGGTGCTGGGAGCCAGAAAGATTGCAGGTACAGTTTGCTCCAATGCTGCTGCGGATGATGCCTTATAAGGAGTATCAGGCCAAACACTCAGAGGGTAACTTGCCTCCTATATCTCTACAAGGTGCTCTCACTCTCCAGGAGCTACTACATTTCCATAAGCCTATCAAGGTAATTTAATTTAATTATTTTTCTTCATGATATTAATTTGGATTTTGTAGAGGTAAGATGTCAAGTGTTTTCATTGATAATATTATCTGAAATATTATTACAGTAGCTATGAATAAAGATAATGTGTTGCATCATTGGACTTTTTTAATCTCTCCAGCCCATGTCCATTACATGTTAAAAGAAAGGTAACAGACCACATTTAGAATATATACAGTAACACTTAATTACCAAAACGGACTAGAACAATGGCAGTGGTGAAAAACAGCAGTAGGAGCTGAACGTATTTAACAGAGTAGAAGGTAAGAATAGGACTGGTAGGCGCATTAAAATACTTGGGAATTAATTTTTTGTCCAGGTATGTGACTTCAAGATGTAGTGTGAAGAAGTTAACCATATTATGAAGTAGGTTGTATCCATATGCTTAGACTTCAATTTTAATTTTAGATTTTAATAGTGACAGCCCTTTTTGTACTAGTGGTGATGGAATTCTGCTATAAATCATTAAAACCACCTGGAAATAATAATAAAAAACAAACAAATTATTGACACTAATGAAGAGAAGAGGTTAAAAAACACCTCCAAAACAATACCTTTTATTTGGTTTAGGTCAGCCAATCCTGTGTGGAGAGGTGATTTGCATGTGCTATTGATGTTTGGTAGCATTATGAAATTTTATTTTTATTTTATTTTCATGTCATGGATGACAGGACATGTCTCTTACCATGTTGTGTTCAGACAAAAATAAGTTCCCCCAGAAAAAAGGATATCAGGAGCAGTCCTGAAAATATAGAAGTTAAGACTAATCTTCGAAATAATATTACCTTACCTTCTCAAATAACTGTCCAGAGTCTAATGGATTATTTAATGTGATTTTCAGGTGGTGAACAGCTTACTTGACATGAGTGTAGCAGACCTACAGGTGATGGCCTGTGACCCCCGTGGCTCTCATGTTGTTGATGCCTTTGTTTTGAGCACCTTTTTGGGGGCTAAAAATCGAGAAAAATTTTTGAATAGATTTAAGGTAGGTGAGAAAAATAAAATAATTTTGGTGGTAGCTGATCTCTAGGATAAACAACAAGACAAAATGGTTTAAGAATGTAAAACAAAAATTTTATTATTAAAGAATTCATACCAGACTTCAAAACAAATTTATACTTGAGAGATGGAGGAGATCCAGAACAAGGTGGATTGATAGGGCGAAGGATACGCTGGAAGTGAGGGGGATAGACTTTCAGGAAGCAGGTATTTGTGTCGATATGTTGGGAGCATGATGTTGAGAGATTTGGGGTAAGAATGTGCTACTGACAGGTGATTTTTGCATCTGCAAATGGCAGAAGAAAGCAGATTTGGGGTCTTGTGGATGGGTGATGCCATACCATAACACATGTTTAACAGTAATAAGGAAGAATGTATTTATATTTGCTCATTTCAAACCACCCTGCATTTAGCAAGTAAAGGTTTGAAAGAAAAAAGTATTCTGTATTCATGTAAATAACATAGTGAAAAACTTACTTGTTTAGTCAGTAAGAATATATTGATTTTTGGGTATTAGGTAAAACGAGTGATAATTTTTATATAGACATACTGTAATGTAATTTTGTGCTTCTTCTCCAAGGGAACGTGCACATCACTTGCTTGTTCCAAGCACGGCTCCCGTAGCTTGGAGGCATTGTGGAAAGTGGCCAGCACCAAAATCAAGACACAAATATGTAGTGAACTTGTTGTGGATGAGTTGAAATTGAAGGGCAGTCCATTTGGAATTATAATTTATACAAATTTTCAGGTGAGTTTCTAAATTTTTTAATCTTTCTGTATACAGTATTTGTTAAAGCAGCAATATGAGGTAGTGTTGATATTTGATTATTGGGGAATTTACATTTATGGTTAATTAAATGTATGGAGTATTGGTGCATGTAAAGCATGAAATGCTGAGAGTAGGTAAGCTTCATTGGATTTAGGGTATGGTAGTAACTTTACTAGAAGGGATGAAGTGGAAGGAAAATGTTAAAGGAGTGAGGTGAAACACATGGCTTTAGGCCGTATACTTTATAAGTGTTGCCAGACATATACTTACTTGCTAGATGATTGATGTTATGGCATGTTTCCATTAAGAAGGACGTGAGGATACAATAAATGGTCTTGTGAGAGTTGAACAGAGACAATTTGTCATAGTGGAAAAACATACCTCATTATATAACAGGTAATCTTTGTTTACCTCAGGGAATAGCGATCCTGCCTTGCCAGTCAAGAAGGCATTTGCAAGTCTTACATTTGAAGCCCAGTTCCCTTTATTTAAAAGTTGGTTGATGATAGAAAGTGCATCCAGCCATAGAACTTGCTTTAAATGTGCCTGATGGCAACTGGGACACCATGCCATCAGGTAATCACAGCTAACCCATATAAGTGTGGAAAATGGCCATAGAAGATGATAATGATTTTAAGCATTTTCACTATAATTTTTTTTCATAGTACTTTACCTGTACATATAAAATGTGTGAACATTACTATTGTGGAGGGCAGTGTCCCCAACCTGTAGTTGGGCACCTGCAAAACCATATGGAGCCTGCAGGTTTATTAGAAAAATTTGAATTATTTGGGATTCTTTGTAAGAGTGAAATTATTGAAAATATATAATAATTTGATACAACTTTATAGTTTGAGAGAGAGAGAGAGAGAGAGAGTCAGCTTTCTCACTGGGGTAAATACAGGAATCCCTCAAACCTGGAACTCTCTGATAGCCAGAATTGGAATTTTCTCGGAAAATCGTTCCCAAAGCTGGAAAATTCGAGAAAATTTTTCCAGTACCCGGAAAATTACAGGGATGGAGTTATTTTTCCGGATTTGAGAGATGAAAATCAGGTGTATTTTTCGGAAATTCAGAGAAAAATTTTCCGATATATACCCGGAAAATTCCAGAGATGGGGAATAATTTTTTCAGGTTTGAGAGATGATATAATGCACAATTCCTGGAACTTCTGAGAATAATTTTCCATTACCCGGAAAATTCTGGGGATGCAGTTTTTTCCGGCTTTGAGGGAGTCGTCTCATTACCCAGAAATCTCTCATTCCCGGAAGTGCTCTGCACCAATTGTTCCGGCTATCGGAAATATCACTACACACGTCCTCTCCAAGAGTAAATGTAAAAAGTGTGTAACTGGTAATGGTTAGACTTGTAAAACTGCAAATAACTGTACAGTACAGCATATTCGAGAAAAAACACTTTCTTGAATGTAGATCCGAAGTTTTGGTGCCCTACACTTTCTACAAAAGGTTGGGACCACTGGTGTAGGATGATATATATTTATTTATTTACTGTACATGTATTTATTTATTTATCCTAAAGGTTCATATGTTCAGAAGAGGAGATAAATCTGACTGGCAAGAGCTCATAGACAAGGCAGAGAAGAAGCGAAAACTGTTTGATGATTTGTTGGTGGAAAGTGGAGGTCAGTATGTACAGTATGTTGGTGACTGTCACTCCATTTAGAGGCTATCAAAAAAAATTATATGGATATGGATTGCAGAAAAGTATACAGTAGGTATCTCCTGTTACTGTATCCTGCAATTTTACTGTGTTGAATGTTTTATGCCATTTATTTCTGGATTATTTCTTTATAACTCCCATAAATTCACTTCAATTTTGAAAAACAAATGTATGTTTTACAGTGCAGTACTGGATGTATACAGTATTGTTAAATTTTAAAAAGAAGCCATCAGATAGTTGTTTTGGACATTAATTATTTTACAATGGTTCAGCCAAGTGTATTTTTTTTATATTGCTGTACGTGGGAATTATATTTCAATGGAAACCTTTATATTTTTTAAAGGAACTCTACCTTCAGGGTCAAAAAGTAAATTTTTGGGTAATTAGTACTTCATGTAATGACTCTTGGAAAAGTGTACAATGTAATTAGCATTGGAACATTAATTACTTACCACAAAAAACATGTTAATTTTCAATTCTGAGAGAAAAAGTGTTTTGTTGGCCACAAGATCACTAACGCGTAAGCCTTACTATTCCCGCCACAATTCTGAAAATTTTATTTGTGCCCAAAATCTCAATGTAAGCACTGTACACTGTACCCTCGTTAATTCGAATCATTAAAATTCATATTTCGGCTTAATTTATATGTTTTAATAGAAATTAAATTAAACTATCTTAATTCAGAATGAATAAGAATTAACTGAGCGGTTCTGGAGTCGATTATTATTATAGGAATATATTATGAAATAAATTAAGATGAATGAATTATAGGAATACAGTCATGTGCCGGTTAACGTCCAACCGAACAACGTCCGATCGCATATACGTTCGTGGCCCCCCCCACCCCCCCCAAAAAAAAAACACGTGACGCCTGCTGGACCACCACTCCACGACCCCCTGACGGAGACACGATGATCCTCCCCATACTGGTCAGATATTATGTGTTAAAAGAATATGCTTCCTTACTTAGGTTTTTCTAAGCATTTGCCTACAGGTAAAATGTTAAACTACATCTATTGAGGATAAAATCTTTCACCTACAAATTGACAATAACACATTTGCTGTAATCAGACATATCTAGTTGCAAGTTGCAATTGGGGTTGCAATTTCAAATTCTGTGGCATTACTAAAAATAGTAAAGTTTCTGGTGCACTCTAAGATTAAGAGAGAAAACAGAGGACTCAGGCGTCCTGATGTGACAGAAAACGGACTCGTATGACGGGGGACCAAATAAAAAAAGCATAGCTACATGTTTTGTGGACTACAGTGTTAAGCGTACCCTTTTCATCACTTTGTAATAAACCTAGCCATGCCTATGTGTGTTTATGATATTTACCATAACATTATATATATGGTCTAAATGTTCGTAAAATGGGTGTGTGAACCAATTAGAATAAATCCCATAGGTTCTGTACTTTCGTTATCAGCGGGGTCCCAATTAGGCGCGATAACCAAGGGATGACTGTACTGTATATACTTGTGACACTGGCCAGTTGCTTCTGGTGTTATGGTACAGGGGTACCAAGTGACAGCACGAGGATCCCGCTTCCTCTATCAAGGAATAAACAATTAAAATTTAAATTGAAAAAAAAAACATTCAAATAAATTACTATCTTACAAGAATCCCTCCAATGTAAGTTATATTCACCCAGGTCGTTTGGGTGGAAAATTATGAGAAGAGCTTAGTCACTCTTAAGTAATGATAAATAAACACGCAGGCAGGCCTTCAGCGCCAACTGTCAAATCTTATCTCAAATAAATAAACAAACAAACGCCAGACATTCTGTCACCTCCCCCGCCGTCTTCCCACCACCCTCGTGTTCAAGATAAAAGATTGGTGATTTCTTTATGTTTATTTATAGTAGTACATTTATAAAAGTTTTTCCAACTGTATTTTTGGGTAGATTTACATAAATTTCTTCATTTATTTTCATACATTTACATGCACACACCATACTAAAACAAACGTAAAAGAAATACTGTAAATGACTTTAGTGCAAAGCTGGAGTGCACATGTACTAATTTGATTACGGTACTAAAATTGTTATGTCTAGTGCAAATTACATGTTTATATTCAAATATATCAGTATCTTACAAGAATCCCAGCTATGTTAATTATATTCTCCTAGGTCATATCACTGGCATTTTAAAATGAGAGAAGCTTAGTAGGACTGTTAAATAAACACACAGAGACCTTCAGCTCAAACTTATCACCTCAACCCTCCCACCCCCCACCAACCCCTCGCTGGGTGGCGTGGCTGGCTATGTCCCCCTCCCCCAGCCAGGCTTTTAGGTTTACAGTTTTTATCTTATATAATATCTCAGACTAAAGTTAGGAGATTATAATTTGCATTGCTGGAATCCTTGCAAGACAGCCAATAATTTGAATATAAACGTCATATATTTTGCTCAAGAGATAAAAATTGTTGTACATTAGTGTACAGTACTGTAGTACATTTTATAAAAAAGTTTTTCAACTGTATTTTTGGGTAGATTTACATAGATTTCTTAGTGCAAAGCTGGAGTGCACATGTACTAATTTGATTACGGTACTAAAATTGTTTTGTCTAGTGCAAATTATAGCATGTTTATATTCAAATTAATCAGTATGTTACAAGAATCCCAGCTATGTTAATTATATTCACCCAGGTCATTTCACTGGCTTTTTATAAGAGAGAAGCTTAGTCACCTAAGAACTGATAAATATACACGCGTTAGACCTGAGCCTGTGCCAACAGTCAAACGTACTACCTCCCCTCCCCCCACGCCTCCTCGCACCCTCTCTCTCCCCCATCTGCTGGCATTGCTGGAATCCTTGTAAAACAGTGAATAATTTTAATATAAACGTCATGTATTTTGCACGAGATAAAAATTAATCACCTGTATCACATTACAGTAGTGATTTAAGAGTTAAAAGTGTATATGTATGTATATAGTATCCCACATACACGTAAGTATAAATAAAAAGTTTGTGATGATCGGACAACGTCCATTTCGGTTAACGTCACGTTTCCAAGAACGTATCTAGGACGTTAACCGGCGCATGACTGTATACAGCAAGTCCTCGCCACGCGGGGTTATGTTCTTGAAAACGCCGGGTTAGGCGTAAACAACGTGAAGCGATCAATTTTCCATAAGAAATAGATAAAATACGGGAATTACGTTCCTGAGCCTCCCTTGCCCCATGAAAAGTTACATATACAGAAAATTATTGCCATTTCTATAGTGAATAGTATATAGAACTACAGTACTCAGTTTGTGGCACTCACCATGGGCAGAGGTGGTAGAGTGAGTGTGTGGTGGGTACCAGGTAGTGGAGCGAAGGAGGAGGATAGTGGGAGAGGAGGGTGGGAGTCACCATGGCCTGCCTCCTCCTCTGACTGAGGTTCCTCCGCTGCTGGTTGCTCCTCCTCCGCTGTTGTTTGTTCCTCCTCGGCTGTTGTAAGAAGCCCCGTCATCCCCACCACGAAAAAATGAATCCAGTGTTGACTGCTTGGTGTTACTCATCTTCCTTATAGATCTCTCGTGTAGCAACCAAGACTGTCCTCAATGCTGCGCTGAACCTTTGATCTAATGCCTCTCTGTTTGGGTCGCCATCTAGAAAAATTTGCATTGCTTGCTGGAACGTGTTCAACGGATTATGTTCTGTTAATTGTTGTAGACCGCTGGTGAGCTCTTCTGAATGGGATGACAGCAGGGCAATTCTATGGGGGCCAGCCATGGTTCTGATTTTGGCTGGCCCCTGCTGGCCCCTCCCCCCACCTTTTAATCTCAAAATTGTAATTCCAAAACATTCCCTAAACCAGGAAGTGAGTCAAGTGACTCAGGCAATGGGTGTGCTACACGCCAGATGCATGCATGACATACTCAAGTCAATCAAAGTGATTTACAACATGAGATACCTCTGGTGAAAAATTGCTCGTGAAGGAACATAAACAACCTTCATCGCTCCGGTAATTTATGTCATTTATTTGCCTTATAAGGCTGCATTTGACTGTTTGTATAAATTACTGTTGATAGCTGTAACTCTCCTCGCTACCAGTGCTTCATGAGAGAAGCTTCGAAATGAAATTAGTGAAACATTCCTAAGAAATTCCATGTCCAGTGACAGACTGAGTAACATTGCGCTACTATCGCATTGAAAGTGCACGGCTGAGGGAATTGATTTAGATTATTTTGTCGAATGCAGTTTGGCAGCCTACATAATAATCGTAGGATTAAACTGCACTGAATATACTGCTACCGCCACAGTACCGCGTGAACTGAAACCGCACCATTGCCATTTGCCATTGGGTATAATGTAACAGTTGCGCGGCGCCTATATCTGAAAACGTAACGCTGTCTCCATAATCTCCATTATGTGTGAAGCGTGAGATCATTCATTTTTGTTGATGTATGTACATACATTGTAAAGACTGCTATATTTTTCAATGTTTGTTATGTGGCACCAATCTGCCCTTTATGTGACTATGTGAGCAATAATACAGTTTTAGAGATATGTTCGTGTGTCAATACTCCAATGAATCATGATTAATGGAATAAGAGCTTATGCCATTATACCGCCATATGCTGATTATTTTAGGCTGGCATCATGAGAGACGCCACTTCACATTTGTCAATCAAATTGGTGTAATGATGCCAAAACTGCATGCTGTACGACTGGTTTGGTTTTGCCTCCACATTTAACCTTGGCCCCAAAGTGGCCCCCACTTTACTAAGTAGAAACGCCACTGGATGCCAGGACGCCCTCAATATCCTCTGATTCTAGCTCATCAAAGCCTGCCTGTATAGTCAAGCTGAGGATATCCCTATTCACAGCTGGGACTAGTCCTTGAATCCCATAAAACTGTTGACGACTCGGCCACAGTTTACGCCACAACACCATTCAGGCAACTTTCTGAAACCTCTTCCCATGCCTTGCCAATGTTGTCAATTGCATGAAGAATGTTAAAGCTGCCAATATTCTCAGATTGTTGGTTTATTTTCTCCGCCTGTAGCCTTGAACAGTTGGGTCATGGTATATGCGAAATAATACCCTTGGTCCTTAGGCTGCATCAGTGCTGTTGTGTTGGGAGGCAGGAATACAACTTCTACACTGTCATGCAAGTTGTCGAGATTGGGAGGATGAGCGGACATTGTCAAGATCAGAAGAATTTTAAAGTTAAGGTTTTTTGGCACAGTATTCCTTCAGTGCAGGGAATGACATACACATTTAACCACTGGCTAAATGTGGCTGATATCCATGCCTTTGTTTGTCCTTGTAAATGACAGGAAGGTGATCCTTAGAGTAACCTCAGGCCCTGTGGTTGGCAGCGCCAGAAATCAAGAGATAGGCTTCAGCTTGAAGTCACCGGCAGCGCTCGCCAAGCAGCAGTGTCAAGCTGCCTTTTGCTGCTTTAAAACCTGGCTTTTTTCTTCCTTGGAGATATAGGTTTTATCAGGCATCCTCTTCCAAAGAGACTAGTCTCATCCACATTGAAGACTTGTTTCAGTGAGTAGTCAGCCTTGCTGGATAATCCATTTGAATTTGGTGGGAATGTCTCGCAGCAACCGTATCCGAACTGGCAGCTTCACCATTCATCTTAATATTGTGAAGTTATAACGATGCTTAAATCATTGAAAACCAGTCTCACTGGCCGTTTAGGTCTCTTTCCTTCGATCTTTCACCCCTTCTGCCTTGTCATCAAACAGGATCTGGCCTTATGCTGATAAACCACAAGGCTCACAGGGCATTGTGTTTCATTCTGGTCCTCCATCCACATTGCCAGCATCTTTCCACCTTCTCTTATCACTGTGCTTCCTATATGAGTCGTCTTAGTAGCACTCAGAGAAGAACACTTCCAGCACTAACCTTAATCTTGTCAGCGGTCCGATAGTACGCGACTGTTGTGGGGGTCTCGACCAAGCACAGTGGCTACGTCCCACATCAATGCTCTCAAATCAGGTTAATGCATCCATTTTCGTAGCAAGGGTAATGGTCTTACACTGCCTCTTCACTACACTAGCATCAGTAGCACTTGATGGACGCTGGAAGGCATTTAAATGGTTAGAGTACAGTTTTAGAGCAAAACACTTAAGCACACATGAATGATGTGAAGCCTTAACAGAGACTGGCTTCGCTGTTCTTGGGGATGCTGTGACGTTCTGCGAAGTGAGGGCAGTGCACAGAGAGCGTGAAGGGCAAGCCAGAAAAGAGCAGGTGATGTCAGAGAAATTAGTCAGTGACGACGAAACGACGTAAAGCATCAGATCACCAGGACATTTAAACGAATTTTTGGTCTCTAAAGTTCAGTGACATAGTACAGAAACAATGTTAAGCTGGACGACTTGGAAGGAAGGACTTACTGTAATATGAATTATATTAAAGTACTCTACAAAACTGTTTGTTACGTAGCCTCCGAGAAGAGGGCAACATACCTCCTGAGCACTTCAGCTCAAGTATCCCTTTATAACCATTATATAATTTCACCACAATTTCTATACAGTACTATTTAGGTTCATTTAGTGCCAGGTTAATAAAACGTCAAAAATAAATTAATTTTCCCCCAAACTCCACCATCCCAGATGAGCTATTACGCTTGTAGTATATTCCAGGTGCCTTATTTACAGTGTAAAAACATTCAACATATCTCAAGCACCATTGTTGTCACTGCTCAACACAGGTATATAACAGTCTCAATTTTATACTTTACAGTCCTTATTTAATGTTATACCCGCTAATATGTCTTTCTTTATTTTCTCTCGTTTTGACAGTCATGACAAATTAGTCAAGGGTAGAAGGAGTTTTTTGAGGTGGCTGGTCCTTAACCTCCTGAATTTTTTTTATTCTTTGGGATTAATTGTTTTTAACTGTTGATTCACTCACCAACAACTTTCACATGGTCCCAATATATGTTGGGTTACCAGAGTATGCCTGTGGTTTTATGTAGCAGCCAAAGCAAGTAAGTAAAATCTGAAGAGAGAAACTTAATCGAATAATCGAACACAAAAACTCGGAAATTGTTGAATGTAAAAAATTCTGCCCGGTTAATACGGATTTTTCGTAATTCGAAAATCAGAGCCCTCTTTGTCGAATTAATGAGGAAGCTTGTGTACCCCTAACATGCCTAATTAGAATCTAGCCCAAAAGCTCAATTTAGGTGATTACTTGTCATAATGACTAAGAAAATTTAATCATCATTTATACCATAATCTTAGAAATTTTATTTGAATTTCTATATCTGCAGCTGAAGAGTATTTTGTAGAAGGTTATCTTCCTGCATATAATATGGACATTAAGAGTTTAGGCTGTGTGTATTCTTATATTACTATACATAATTAATAGAGTAATATTAGAATACACAGCTTAAGGTACTACTTGTGTCCATATTATACACCCTAATTTTAATTTTGAAAAAGGTTTGATTGGACTTTTTAAAACAAGCTAAAAATGGTAAATTGAGAGTTTTCTTGTACAGTATATTTCATTTTGTACTGTATATTCTTCAGATAATTTTTATACTGTATTTAATTTTTGTATGTCTGGAAGAGGTACTGAACTGTTTTTGAATTTCAGGTGAGCAGAAAAAGAAGAAACACAAGAAGAAAGAGGTCACTTGATTTCGTTGAAGATATTTTCATCGATACAGTTGGTAATTATTCAGATTAGAAGACTTTTAAATCATATTAATTACCCCAATCTTTCAGATAATTTTATACTGTATTTAATTTTTGTATGTCTGAAGAGGTACTGTATTGTATTTGAATTTCAGGTGAGTTGGTGAAAAAGAAGAAACAATAGAAATATCAAAGAAAGAGTCATTTGATTTCATGGAAGATATTTTCATCGATACAGTTAGTAATTATCTGATGAAGACTTTAAATCATATTATACTACTCCCCAATTTCGATAATTTTTATACTGTATTTAATTTTGTATGTCTGGAAGAGGTACTGTATTGTATTTGAATTTCAGGTGAGCAGAAAGAAGAAACACAAGAAATATCAAAAGAAAGAGTCACTTGATTTCTCATGAAGATATTTTCTTAATGACAAGCAGTTGGTAATTATTCGTGATTAGAAGATTCTTTAAATCATATTAATTACCCTAATCTATTGCATTGGTAATAAATAATGATATATTTTTTATGTATTTACCTTGCTATCTTACTCAGAGTTGAGATTCGTAAGATCTGAAGTATGTTGAAGAAAATATAACTTGTTAGTATATACAGTAGATTCAAAAAAAGTCATAAGAAATTTAAAGTACACTATGCAGATGTGTTGTTGGTAAGTAAGTTAAGATATCTAATTTCTTAACATTTATGTGCAATAATGCACCAAAGCTCTTGTAGTGCATTTTTTTTTTCTCAGCTGAGAAAAGATGCCCTGCCCCTTTCTCAAGACTATCAGGTGATTGGCAGTTTCAAATCTGTCTGATTTTGTGCTGAAGTAATGATGCTTTAAATGAGTTTATTCTTAATCATTGGGATGACCGTTTACGAGGAAAGGAGAGAATGAGCTGAATAAATTGTATAAAGATACATATTCACATATTCCAAAATTATGTAGGAAGTTTATCGTATGAATATATATATGAATGCAACTGCTAATTCTGGTAGTAAATTCATGCATTCGGAGGATGCATTAATTTATATTTTTTTTTTTTGACCCAATAATAAGGCATATAAACTCTGGTAGCAAATTCATGATTCGAAAGATGCATTTAATTTGTTTTTTTGGACCCACAATATATACCAAGACAAATTACATATCAGTAATACATTATGCAACATAGTTGAACCTCACTTTACGTTAATGTAACCTCAGCAGGGTCCCGCTGCGAAAGTGAATAACATAACATGTGGGATTATTCGAATGGAGTCCGCCACCCCAAACTCCACTTTTGGACGACACACAACTATGTTGTAGTAAAAAATTTTATCTTAACTCTTTATGATGGTATGAAAACCAAGTAATATAGAAGAGGTTAGGGTTAGGAAAAAATAAAGGTTAATATAGGAAAATACAAAGGTTAGGGTAGGAAAACCAAAAGTTAGGGGTGGAACACCTCCTACGGAAGAGATGGGTCGGCATACGTGATGGAGGTTGGAGTTCCAGGCAGAGGGCAGATTGATTGACCTCAGGTGAATCACCACATTAGGTGAATCACCATCACTGTCACTTACAGTTGTCAGGGCTTCCCCACAACCTCAAAGTCATCTTCAATGTCATCACTATCACTGGCTTGGCTGGCTGTGTGTGGGCTTAAGAACCTGCTATGCTTTTTGATCGCCGGTGCTTATGTTGTCGCGGATATCGCGGATGTACGGCTCCATACTGCACCAGCCAGGTATGGAAGACTTCATAGCGGCCACAATATCATCATTGTCGCGAAAGGAAGGACTTCATTTCTGCACACTCCATGGCACCCTTAATATCACTATGAGTTAAACTGTGTTCTTCGGAGAATGACGACCTTCTTTCCTCCTTCTTCACTGACGGATCTTCCAAATATCTCGCCGCAGTAACTTCAGGATCTCTGATCACCCCAGGATGTCGCCGCTGGTGGTCTCGGAAGTCGGAACTGTAACAGTCTGGCGCAGCTTCTGGCAAGGTCCACTGCTACTGCAACATTCTGAACCTCACCAGTCACAGATTGACCTCCTCTCACCTGGTATCTATGCAACACATGTCTCCAGCGCGTGACGAACCGTAGCAAAGGACAGTTGATCCCATGACTCAATTGAAGTTCCATAGCTTGATGTTAAATACTTCCAGAATTGTTTGAACAGTATTTTTGCTGTGCCAACTGTTGATCTCATCTTCTTCGCTCTGCTATCGTGGTGTGTGTCACTTCAGGTTACTAGCCCCTTCCTGCGTTGGTGTAGTCGTTCAGAGTTTGAATTTTTGTTGAGAATGTAGCTTTTACATTACAGATTAACTCTGGTCCATATGGGCTGTAATATAGACGTAGTGCGCTGGGGAGGAAGGTGCATCACTTTTTACGCTGGGGTGACGCACCCAACAGTAGGGCGGAAAGATCCCGGTGCATTGCTCAGCAGCAACAAAAATCTTGAATGGCACATTCTGTCGCCACAGAATTTCTTTTACATCGGGAACAAAAACAGTCATCAAACCAGGAGAGGACAGTAAAGAACATCCACGCCTTACGTTAAGTCAGCCAGTGACATTTAGCTTGGTCATGTCCATGGTTTTGTAGGCGCAGGCGGCTATGCGGCTGTGTGGATCACCGATAACTTGAGCTTACAGGCACCGGAGGCATTGGTGGTAAACAGGACGGTAGAGCGCGTTCTCTGCATCTTCCAGCCCGAATCCTGCTGGCATTCTTTACAACCAGAGGACTTGGAAGGTAGCTTTTTCCAGAAAGTATTCAGAGATTCGTCCATGTTAACACCCGGTCGCCACTGTACTGTCCTCCATAATCTCAATGCAAAACGAGAAATTCCCTTTAAATAACACGGTCAGCACTGGCTTTTCACCAATTGTTATATTGGTGATCTTGTTTCGATCTTAAACCCTGTAACCACCCAGAGTGTGAAGCATTAAAGGGTTTGGGTCGTAATTCCCATCTTTGCCACTGCCATGCGTACACAGTTCACGGCGTAGTCTCTTAACAGAGCGCCGTCGATCGCCATGTTCGTCATACCCGACGCACTAAGTACCTCAAGTAATTTTTCTGTCTTGAGAAGCACCTGGTTAGAAAATACTTGATCATAGAAGCACCTGTAGACTTGTGATCTTCATGTGCCTTTATCTTGGCTGCATCCTTCTTTATTGTTCAATCAGAGATTCATTCACACCATAGCTGGCCAATCAACCTGCCTTGTTCCTTTCTCCAACTCTGATGATGGTATATCAATTTAGCTTACGAACGCCGCGGTTCTTTGGCTTAGTGCCGCTTAGTCCAGGCAAGGAAAGGTTTCTCTGGGGTGGTGGTCCAGCGGAAATATTTACCCAACAATGGATGCACGCTATTAACGGTGTGGCCTTGAGGATGAAACTGCCGCTGCTAGGGTCAAGTTGCCGTACGCCTTCTCCCTCTCAGGACACGCCATAAATACTTAAGCCAATTATAGCTAGCAGCAGAGGGGGTAGGGATGCATGGCCAATCACAGTCCGGGGACACGCCATGACGTCAGTGATAACGCAACAAAGACACACACACCGTAATACCCACGAGCGGATTGCCCAAGCCGAGGGAGGGGCGCGAGGAGCACAGGCAGGCGGGCGGGTGGGGCGACCTAAAAAATAGCTGCCGCTACCGACACCCGCAATGGGGGTTCACGACGCGTAATGTGAGCACGCGGGGTTCTGCAAGGCACGGCAGTTATACATATGGGTGCAGAATCACATTGAAATATTTACATGGCCGTCAGCAGAGGCAGGAAATATGAAGTTGTCTGCAGTCATATTTCCTGCCTCTGCTGATGGCCGTGTAAATATTTCAATGTGTTTCTGCTCTTTTAAATTGTATGTTTTTGCATAATGTAATATTACTGATATGTAATTTGTCTTGGTATGCCTTATTGTGGGTCAAAATAAGTATAAATTAAATGCACCCTCCAAAACTATGAATTTGCTTCCAGAGTTTAACAATTAATTCATGTATAATTCTTCTGATAAACTTCCTACCTAATTATGTTTGAAATAATGAATATATGTATCTTCATATAATTTAGCTAAATATCTCTCGTCAGAAACGGACCCAATGATCAAGAATAAACTCATTTAAAAAATACATCATTACTTCATTAAAAACCAGACAGATTTGAAACTGCCAATCTGCTGTTAGTCTTGAGAAAGGGATGGGGCATCTTTTCTCAGCTGAGAAAATAACGCACTATAGCTGTGTAATAATTAAATTTGATTTATTATTTAGGGGGAAAATTATACAATATCCTATACTATATAATATCCATTATCCAAAACACCAGTAACCTGTGTATTTTCCCCATTAGTTGAAGTAATGGAATAGAATTCAGTTGTATTTGTTGACATACAGTCTTATAATGAAACAAAAATAATATACAAGGTCAAGCTATATAAAAGGTTATAAATATATACAAAACTAAGTATCTATACTGTATGTATATTTAAAATAGTTCATATAACAGATCTGATTCATCAGACAACACACTGAAAAATACAACAAAGAAAATGGAAGTGTATTGAACACATGCAGTCCTCTGATAATACTAGTTTATGTAGCCTTCTTGATAACTAGAACCTTAATTGTGCTATTTTACTTAAGGTCATGGTTTACACACAATTTCATTCAGGTTTGCCACTGGTGATTATTCAGTCACAGAGCAACTCATAATTCAAGGCTGCATACTGGGATGTATTATTTTAGACAAGCCTTGAATCAGGGTTCACCATGCCTCCTATTGTCTGGTCACTAGAACTTTGTAAATGAGGCCCAGAGTCATTTGTAACAGACAGCCAATTGGCTGACAGGAAAACATGCAAAGGGTCACTCAACCAAGCTTTAGTATTTCAATTATCTTACCTATATTCTGCAGTTTTAAGGACTAATAACTATTCAGAGCTGATCTCTATTAATTTCCACACCTAGGGGAGCAAAAATTAGCCTGTGAAACCCACTGGTAAAAATAAATCAAAGGGAATATGAACAAGTTGAGAGACAAAGAATGTCGCTGAAATTTTTTTTATCTTTTTTTTTCGATGACATTTGTTACCAGTGCATTTCACATAAGGATTTGCACTTTGTTAAGTGTGGAAATTATCAGATATTCACACTAAATACTGCAGTTATAACTGTATTCCTTAAAACGGCAGAATGAAGGCAAGTTAAATGAGATACTAAAGCTCCGTTGAGTTTTCACGTCTTGTTACATTCGGCTCTAGGCCTTATTTTCAAAGTTTGAGCGAACAGACTGTAGCCTTGAAAGTCTTCTTAAAGTCATATCTGTCCAATAAGCACACAGCACCAAGACCAACATCAAGAGGTATTCGTACCATGTTTCCCATTTAAGGCCAACAGTGATGAGAATGGTGTTTGGTACAGTACATTTTCAAAAGATTAACAGATATAAAAATTCTCCACAGTAAGCAATCCTGTCTTATAAAAGCCATCTGGCTAAAGGATTTAAGCCAGATACCAGGAATTGAATAAATAGATGACAGTTTTATACGTTAGGAGATAATTTTGGTCTCGAGTGCTTATTGAAATATATCGGGAAGTTTTTTAAAACCTGCAGCAAATTTAATGATGTGATGAAATTCTTCCCAGGGACTCGGTAACAGGAATAATTTAGCTAATGTACTGAAAGTGAAGTTTAATATGTAACAAAGTTGAGAAAATATATATAATTTTATTGCCAAAGATTGGGCGCTAATATAACATTACTATTTTCTTAACATTGTTACACATAAATTCCACTTTCAGTACATATGCTAAATATTCCAGTTAGTGGAATGGTCACTTTGTTGAATGCATAATTATTGAGAAGAAATTCATCACATCAAATTTCTTTATTGCAGGTTTCACAAAACTTAATGAGTCATAACCTTGATTCATTTCTTGCAAATAAGGATTCTATTTAAAATATGGTTTTGATGGGCAAGCATCACTAATGGCTCAAAAGTACTGTACAGTACATCTGTCTCGACTGGAAATATTCAGTATGTATAAGAAGAGTGAGAGTACTATGGGTTTTCAACAACTGACAAATTTTTAAATTTGTAATTACAGCTTCAGTCTGAAGTAGGTGCTCGGCCATCAAAACGTGTAACACTGGATAAATCACTGATACTGTACATAAAAATCCTCCATTGTACTCATGAAGTTCTCAAAACTTTCACAACAGTTGATTAACAATTGCAGTTGAAGAAGGGCAAGAGTAGCATGATATTCCAGTGAAGTGGAATATGATGAAAGTTTAATGAACACTATCATTATGAAAGCCATTTTGAAGAAGAATCAGTCTTTGTTCTATTTTAAGCTTATCACCAACATACCAACTCGACAACAAAACATACCCAGTGCTTCAAACTACTTCAGTACTCGACCACTAATAAGTTTGTGTATCATAAGGGTACTATGATGATGATGCTTAAAAAGTCTTGCCTTTCCAATATCTGTCCAAAAATTGAGAAAACCCTTGGCTATGTATTCCACAAAGTTCTCTTACAAGTAAAATACTTTTACCCTCGTCCATTCATTATTTATTTATTTTTTTTTATAAATATGAAACTAGACATTACTCATGGCAATGTGTGAATCTGTGAAACCTTTCTCAAATTATTGAACAGACAGCATTTCTTACATGGATGGACAAGGATAACACTATGACCGCCCTTTCCCCCCTTTCCTCAAAAGAAAAAAAAAGGGGAAGCATAAAAAAGAACACTGACTAGGTGGAACAATCATTTAAAGTACTCTTGACTTATCCCCCCTCAACTGGTATTCTCCATGAATACTTAAAATGGTAATTTTCTTAAAACACAAGCCAGGGTTTATTTGATATTTTCAAGGCAAGTGTCTTGGCAGATCTTTGTTAAAACAATAACAATACTTGATCAAAATAAAAATAAAAATAAAATCTTTGGCAGTATGTGCCCATATGAAAACCTAACACTATCAAATATATTTAAAACAATAAAATAAATAAAACCATGTTAAAAGTGAAACTGGTTTTCATGCACTGTAGTTCTCATTTATAGCAGCCATGTTGTAGGTTTAAATCCCTACACAACTTAAGTTTACATTATTTTATAGTTTAATTTACACTACTTGAATAAAAGTGCTCCTCAAAATACAGAATATGTACGCTTTCTTACATGATCTTCATGCATTATTAAATAAAACTTAATGCACATCTGAAAGATGTTTCACAGACCACCTCAGTGTTAGGCGAAATGTAAAAATATTGTAGTCAAGACATTTGTCTGTTAAACTTCAACCTGAGTGTTGCCAACTTTAGCAAGATACAAGAAATACATCTTGCATACACCTGATAGTACCATCAAGTTCTTAGTACATGTATACAAAAATATATAAAACTTCAGGAGCTTTGTAGGAACTGCTGCAGTAAACACTTTTTAACAGCTAACAAGATGGTAATCATCATCTAGCAATGTATGAAACACTTCAATATTCATAAAAGAGTATACACTGTATATCTGTACCTATATTTTTATAGGTACAGAATTACTAAAAGCATAACAAAAAGGATACCTTAAATTTTTGCTCTTTTAGTTCCCCATTATATTTCACAAATACAGTATCTTACTCTTGGAGAAAAGTATTAACTTTTTGGCAATTTTTTTTTCTGAATCCATTATTGAATAAAATCATTTCATTCTCAGATGAATGGTATCAGTGGATATAATCAAATAAATATATATTGAGAGTCTCTAATTTGACCACAAAAAGATGAAAGTATATCCTTTTCACATTTCTAAACTGCTCAGAGCTATTTAGTTATAAAAGTTGATATCTTACAGCTTGTTCACTCACAGTATCTGCACTAGCATTAAAAATCCCACTCAATCTGTCTTGCCAGTTGTTAAGAGAACAAAAAAGAAAAAAAGTTTGTTTTAACTCAGGCTTGCCGTACTGTTGTAATCTATGTGCTATTTCCATTTGTAATGCTTGTACAATGAGTACCATTTGTTTGTCCATTTGTGGTCTCAGTAGCTTTACCATTTGAGCAAGCATGACCATTATCATGATTAATGGTGATGGCAATCTTAGCTGTGCTTTTTGTAGGATGACTTGAAGCAGTCTGGGGTGCAGGATGAATGTATGTGAAGAAAGGCTTAACATTCTTGCTATAGTCCCGAGGTATGTCATAGCCTGCCTTCAGTGCACCTAAGTAGATAGCACCTAGAGCACTTGTCACCTGTTTAAAAAATAAAAGTTATAAGAAAAAGAATGCAAGAAGACAAGGTGGATAGTACGCATATTATTTACACAAAATAAGAAAATGAATAATTTCTGATCTAAGGAATATTGATAAAGTACTGTATTTTTTTTCTAATGCAGTAGTTATGAAATTCTCTGCATTTTTCTAAATACCCTGTAATAGGAACCAACTCCTATGCTTTCACTGTTTACATTTTTAGGTACAGTGTCTTCCTAAAAAATTACACAAGTACTGTATAAAACTATCTTGTGGATAAATGAAAATCTCCGCATACTCTTTGTACAGTATATATCAAATTCAACTTTCCCTACTTAAAAGGCCAATAAAATTACTGTACAGGTAGTTTTTTTTTTGTGCCAATGGCTCAACTGTCTAGTTCTCTCACTAGTCCATTTCGAATTGGTTTTACTTTATGTAAAATCCTTTATAGTTTGAGCCTTTTTGTGACAAGTGTTCCATATTTTTCACATTTATTTATGCTTTAGATGCATTAACGCTATCTGTACCTTAGTAAGAGAACTGACAGATCACAGATAAAATGTTTAAAAATATCAGTACTGTACAGTAGATCTAATATTAAAAATCAGGGCTCTCTTTAAAAGTCGTACATCATTTTATTTAAGCTCTTAAAACTTTTTTATGGATAAAAAAATGCATCCTCTCCTTGCTGGAATTATCCACAAGCAACTTTTCAACTTGGTTCTATACCACAGAAAGTTTTGCTGAAGAAACTAAGAAATATTCCTCTAGTATATTGTTTAAACCTGTCTAAGTTTGTTTATAATTTATAAATCTCCCTGCATCCTGTAGTTTATTAAGTGGCATTTACTTACAAGATATAACAAGTGGAGTTACTTTAATTTCCTCCAACTTGAACATTGTCCTGGGGTATTTCTATTCATTACAAATAAGGTGGAATTCATGTATCACTGTACTCTTTAAAATATATCACACTCATACCAAGAAGCGAAGAATTAATGCTATAATTTTGTTAAATATTCGTGAAAGACTGTGGTGGGAATGTACTTTTAAACTTCAACACCTCTGCATTATATTATTAAAGGAAGATTATAAATGTTGTGATGTTTCCCATTAAAGCTCATGTTGGTTCAAATATGCTTGCATTCAGGCCCACAGGCTACAGTACCATCAATATCATGGAAGAAATGGCAAGTTTAAAAAATATATACTTGTATTTACAGTCTAGTGCATTTACAGGGGGCCTATCAGGTTCTGTGCAGTGTGGCAGCTGTGTTTGTTTACATTCAGCAGAAGTAAACTCACAATAGTACACCCCTGTAAATGCACTAGTGATGGGGATTGTGCATGTTAGTTAATACCGTATAAGCTCGTGTCAAGAAGGATACTATTGTTAGATCATTAAACTTACACCGTCAGTCATTAAGATTAAGTATTATTCATGCCTTAACCAACTAATGCTTAGTATTATTACCAGAAATTTGGATATAAAAAGCAATTAAATGGATGCCTGTTAGTATTGTTATAAACTTTTCTCATTTCAGTTTCATTCAGTTATATTGAATACAGTATCCAATACAGTATTCCAATAATAATTCTAGAGATGTTCGTTGTTGTGAAATAGTAACTTAAAACCACGATGAAAATATGCATCTCTTATTATATCAGTGGTGCCGACTTGTGAGAAGGAACGGGTAAACAATATCTGGGGCCTTGTTGTGGAAAGGAAGTACCATAGCAGAATACAGTACACCTTTTACACTAGTAAAGGTGAATGACAATGATGGGAAAAATGGAAATAAGTGTACTGTATATGCTGTTTCTGGACATCCTGCATCATAAGAGGAAGAAGAGGACCCTCAAAAAGTCAATGTTCGAGACTGAAAAATGCAATAAAAACAGGAAGGAACCACTAAAAAGAATATTATTAAATCCCAATTTTGAGATTTAATTGAATGAACATTAATAATTAGAATAAAAAATAATTAGTATGATTATCATATCTGTAATTACTTTTAAGAGGAGGAGGTTGTTTTGTCAATCAAGGGGCCAAGAAATTTGCTGTATTTTCCAATAATCTCCTTGCAAAATGTTCTCTAACTAATTTTGGAGGGGAACCTTACAAGTACTGTAATGTCCTCTTGATTAACCATAGTATTTACATTGAGGGTACTGCAAATAAGCAATGGTTGAATATTTATTTTATCTTTTGATTAAGAAACTCATTCCTTCTATGATGTAGTATGGCTACAAAAAGAGCCAACACTTCCTCTTTATTCATTGGCTGTCACCTATTCTCATTAACTGCTGTAACATTCCCATAAACTTGCAGAGATTTGAGCCGAGTGATAACATACTGCCCGATAAAAATTAGTGTTAAGCTAGGATTCCATTCACGTGTTAGCTGTTGCGTTAGCACCAAAAATATATCACATTGAAATGTACACGGTTATTTCCATTGGCACGGTTACAGTACATGCCAATTACTCCCTGTAGCGATAGAAGACGCAAACGCACTGCAAACGCGTGAATGGAATTCTAGCTTAAGGCTAGTAGCAGATTAAGATTAGCAAAGATGGTACAATATGGTCATATCAGAGAATGGAATATAAATATTTTAAAGGGAGTGAAGAATAACATTCAGAGGTGGATGGTAGGAGAGAAAAGGAGATTGAAGGATGCATTAGAAATGAGAGGGATGAGCATCTATGAAGCAGTGATGTGTGTTGTGTCAAGTGACTTTTGGAGATGGATGTGCTGTTGGTAGGTTGTTTGAAGTAAGGTAATAGGAAAAGGATTTAAATTAAAAAAATTAATTATATATATATATATATATATATATATATATATATATATATATATATATATATATATATATATATATATATATATATATATATATATATATATATATATATAACAATAATATAGATAATAACTTTCCAATTATAATTATCAGTGTGATACAGAATAAATGTTTGAAACTTATCAATTAAAATAAAGGAAATTTCCCGGTGATGGCATCATTGATGGGTCAAGTCAGTGGATTATGCTAGAGGAATGATGGGAGTCTCAACATAAGAATTTCCTTATAAAGATGAACACTTAAATATTCCAACAAACTCTGAAGTCACTGGTCCATCCAGCAAGGTTTATACTGTGTTTAAAGTCTCTATTTTTCTTATTGGGATACCATGAAATGTACAGGTACTTATTTTTAATTATTTACTTTTTCCTCATTAAGTGTAATACTTTGTTCCTTCAGGGGAAATACTTGCCCTATTTCAGGTACGGACCATCTCTAAAACCTCCAGTATTAAAACAGAAATTAAATTATTGTAAAGCTCTCTCTAAGTGTGTGCGTGTGTGTGTGTGTGTGAAGCATTCCCCACTTGCAATAAGAAATAAGAGGCAAGAAAATACTGTAAGCCACAAGAGAGACTGGGACATTAATTGAGGGAAGAGTAAATACTTAAAAAAAGGAAAGAGCACCCTATTTACTTTTACCATGATAGGACTTCTATAGGCAACTGTTAGCCAATCCATCTAGTGTCTTCTTTTACATGACCAGATACGCAGAAGTAGTGTACACTACTGTACTGCACTATAACCCAATTGTACAGCATTTAAATGAATAAGATTTGCAAGATAAGCTTTATATATTATTTCTCCCTATACAGGGGTTTCTATGATACTAACTTATTTTCCCTTTTTGTTGAGTGACATTTACCTATCAATCATCTGCTGCTGCTCTAATAGTGTTTTAATAATGTTAGTGACAAGCAATGTTACAGCTTCCTATCATTTTTGGTTAATATTAACGAAAATGCACAAAAATTAGCACAGTACTCACTTCTGCCACATTATGTGGCTGCTACATCCTCAATGATCAAACTATGTAACAACAATTATCATACTATTTCACAAAGATAAACAAAATTAAAAAAATTGTCTATCAATACTACAGTACATCAGTACCTAATAAATTGCCTTGCTTTTGTTCTGACATGCACACCAAAATTATCATTATTTTCTTCCCTGTAAAACCTGAAAATAAATATTGTTTATATATACATTTATTTAATATTTAAAAAAGTTACAGATCTGACTATTTACCAGTTTTTTATACAACTTTAATGAAGTTTAAAGACACTCCAGAGAAAATGGGATACAGTATATATATACGTAATTTGTATTTTATTTAGGGAGAAATGATTTCTTTTAGAAAAAAGATTCAAAGGTTAACATTATTTAGCCTGTTACAGTAGGGTGTACTAATGAAATATATGACAGATTTACCAACTTGCATCCAAATTTAGGCTTTTAACACACCAATTATTAAAAAATATCCCATTAACTATGCAGTACATTATTTGAAACTTTTCTTGCTACTATTATTATGGACATGTAGATCAGGAAATGAAAGACATTGTAAAGATTAGTCAAGGCCAAAAGCAACAAAGGGAAATCCAGAAATACAACTAGAAATATTATACAGAAACAAGTGATGTATTCATAGGGTCTACAATTAAAGTCAGGTCTACCAAAAGGAGGATGAGAGGGAATAAAGGTGTATTGTGTTAGTACAGTAACATGGTATGGCAAGACAGCTACTTGGAAGCATCGTGGAATGTATCAAGCACAGTATTAGTGGTATTTGTAATGGTTTAACATCAAAGTTTGAGTAATTCAAGGATGTGTTGTCATAGGTGTCAAAGAATAATATGACTATCACTACAGGTACAGTAATGGTGTGGGACAAAGTAAGAATGTTTAATGTACAGTAGCTGAAACAACTATCTGTGCAGGTGGGGGTCGATATATACCAAAATTTATCGTCCATGTTCTCATATTGTTTCCCACAAAGTATGCACAGATACGGAAGTTGTTTTAGCTACTGTACATCGGCTGTGGTGTTCAAAGGGTTTTTATTGGGGTATTCTGCTGCAATCCTGGAAGAGGTCTATAGGACTTGAGATCAGAAATTATTGCTTTTTGCACAGCACTGAGCCTATAAGAAACAGCATAGAGATGTTACAAAGTGCTTTATAAAAACATCTTAAAAGGTAGCATATGTTTTAGGAAAATCTAGAAGACAGTACTGTATATGTAAATGAAACATCTGCAAGACAGTAAAAAACAAGACATTTTACTAGGTCATTTGTGCTAAAGGGATCTCTAAGACAGTGAAAGACAAGAAACCAGGAATGTAAAACAAGTGACAAGTAGCATATTTATGATCATTGAGAATATAGAAGCTATTCTTTTAGAAGAAGAACAGCTTCAAAAATAACACTCACTGCACCGACCGCTAATCTTAGAAGTTTAAACTTGGGGATGAACTCGTCCTTTTCCAACTGTGGCTGGACTCCATCTACAAATCCTTCACGCAGATATTCCCAAGACTTCCAAACAGACCCAGAACAGACAATCTGAAGTCCATCCTCTGCAGCAAATAAATCCTGTGGGATAAAAACAACAATTATGAGAATAGGAAGGAGGACTAAGGTTTGGAAGACCTGAATTATAAATTGGCTGACTTAAATAACCCTGCTACTCTTTTTGTAGAAACTCCGAGAGATAATTTTCTGTTCCAACATGTTAAAGACCCGACCCATTACAGAGGGGAGCAAACACCCAAACCACTGGACCTCATCATAAAAAATGAGGAGGGTATGGTTGCCAAACTGAAACATCTAGTCCCAGTTGGCACCAGCCACCATGTAATGTTGTCCTTCAGATTTAACTGTTACTTAGTTCACGACAAAACCAGGCCAAGGTGCAAATATTACAAGGGAAATTACGATGGGATGAGGGGTATCCACTGGCCTGACCCCCTTAGGCATAAGAAATCAGACACTATGCTGAGTATCATAACTAGTAAAGTGAACCATTTGATCGAGAAATATATACCCAAGACCAAACCCAGCGCTGTCGACAAAGTTAAGAAAACCCAGAAATTCAAGGTGTGGGTTAAGTCAAACGATGAGCAGGAGAGGAGGATGTATGCAAGAGCCAGGAATCAAGCAAAGTTAGAGTGTAGAAGGGCTGGAAAGGAGTTCCAGAGGCAGGTTGCAAGTGAGGTTAAGTCAAGCCCAATGGCGCTTTACCGCTATGCCAAAATCGAAATTAAAAACGCGAGTAGGAGTATCGGACCTGAGGCTTGAAGATGGTAGTTACGCAGATTCTGTTCAGGACAAAGCTGAGGCATTGAACAGTTTCTTTACTTGGTGTTCAAATGAGAGGATGCGGTCAATCTTCTTGCGTTTGAGGACAGGCGGTTCGACACAGCACTGATCCACATTGTGTTCACAGAAGAGGTTATAAGAAATAAACTGTCAAAGCTAAAGATTCATAAGAGTCCCAGCCCTGACATGATGCATCCCAGTGCTAAGAGAGTTGTGCAACGAGCTTGCTGAGCCCCTGAAGATCATGTTCTGCAAATGTCTGGATAAGCAAAAGGTCCCAAGTAATTGGAATATGACTTATGCAAGTCCTATCTTCAAGAAGGGTAATCGGCACTCCACGAATAACTACAGTATAGACCGGAGAGCCTGACCAGCATAGTATGCAAAGTATTTGAAGGCATTATAAGAAATACCATGATGAAACATCTACTACGAAACAACCTTGTAAAGTATTGCCAACACTGTTTTATGCCGGGGCGATTCTGCTTAAAACAATTACTCAAGGTACTGGATATTTGGACTAAAATTCTGGAACAGGGTGGTAATATCGACAATATATATCTAGATTTTGCCAAGGCTTTCAAAAGCGTACCCCATGAAAGGCTGAAAATTAAACTGGATGGGTACAGGATTCGGGGAAATGTCCTAGCGTGGATCGGAGACTTTCTCCATGACTGCAAGAAGTGTATGGTGATTAAAGGCACGAAATCATCATGTGTACCCATCACAAGCAGGGTACCACAGGGCAGTGTACTGGGCCCGCTGTTTGTTTGCTTTATAAATGACACGCCTGACGCTGTTCATTCCTCCATACAAATGTTTCGGATGACACCAAGTTATTTGGGGAAATTAAGAACCAACCAGACTGTGAAAAGCTGCAGAAGGATCTCTGTGAGCTTCAAGAAAGGTCGAAGAAATGGCTGCTAAGATTCAATGTCGTGAAGTGTAAGAGGCTGCACCTGGGACAAACCAACGGTAAGGAGGCGTTTCATATGTCCCAACGGGACGAAGAAACTGCATTAATTGAGACAATGTGAAAAGGACCTAGGTGTGTATGTTGACAATGAGCTGAAGTTCTTGGTCTATTGCGAGAAGGTAAATCAGGCAACTAAATTATTAGGTCTTATAAGATGGTCGTTCAGATATCTAGACGGTCCTTTCCTCGTAACGATCTTCAAGAGTGAAGTGTTTCCCCGTCTGGAGTACTGTACTGTCACCCCATCTGGTCCCCGAGATATGCTAGGGACTGTCAGTTGATTGAAAATGTCCAAAGGAGGGCCACCAGACTGGTGCCTGCACTACGGCACCTCAGCTACCCTGAGAGATTAGAGCGCCTGAAATTGCCTAGCTTATACTACCGATTGGCAAGGGTAGACCTAATTGAGGTGTATAAGCATCTCAAAGGGCACTACTCAATCGAGTGCCCTTATCTTGAGCTGACGGACGCTCGCCCCACACAGGGTCACAGCTCAAGGTTGAAGCCGCAAGCCCAGAAAACTGAGGGGTAAATTTTTCTGAATGAGAGTTGTGAACTCTTGGAACAATCTGCCAGAGAGTGTTGTGATGGCACCGAGTGGGAGCTCTTTCAAGACCAGACTTGACAAGCACTGGAGCAGGTTCAGATACATTCAGAAGCCAGTACATGCCCAGTACTTGCCAACAGTGCGTAACAGAGACGTGACTGATCGCCCAAGCGGCTAACGAGCCGATCAGTGGTGAAGACGATAAAAGTACTGTACTGTACAAGTAAAAGTCTTTCATGTGATGGTACAAATAGATCAAACTGCAAAATATAAATAAAAAACTAGAAGTGTAACTTAAGTAAAAAAAATAAAACATGGTGCTAGCTTAACCCCACTGCAGTTCATAAACATTCACCTTCTAGCCCTTAACTTTCAATTTTAACTTACAACTTACATCACTATTGTGTAACATTACTTACCGGGTGCATATTTCTGGAGAGAGCAGATATGTGACGACCCAGAGCAAATCCACCATCATAAAGAATGCGTCCACACATGGGATCACCTTGAGCTGCTCCTTCACTTATTTTGGCAGCTAGGCTTGCAAATTTGGCTTTTTCAAAAGTTGTGTAAACATGCTGCAGCATTCCAAACCTGCCGTAAAGTGATGGGTTAGATTTTTAACATTCCATAGTTTGTAGCAAATAATAATAATAATAATAATAATAAAAAGTGGTTCCAAATAAACAGTTCTTTACAACAAATCTAAAACTTCCTACTGTAAGAGCCCTATACATACTGTACACACTATGGTAAGAGGAAATGACTAAAGTAATGTATTCTACTACAGCAGGGCTGGCCAAACAGCTGCTTGTGAGCTATTTATGTGGCTCTTTGACACCTGATGTGTGACTCACGAAAATATAAGTAACATTCAACGTGAATATAGATATTTAAGGATTTAAATCCCAACCTTAATGCTAGGTTTATGTCGGTTCTTCATCAGTGCCGAGGGGAGACCGAGGGATTAAAGATTTCAGGTCAGCAGGGATTAAGGAAGAAGGTTCAAGGCACTGAGATCACAGAAAGGGAGAGTACAGTAAATATATTTGAGTGGGCAGGGGGGATTCGAGGTCACAGGTAGCTTAACGAGCCTGTGCCCAGCATCACATGTACAGACATGGTTGGTACACTCAGGATACAAGTTGTGTTTTACTGTCCATAAAAATAAGTTGCTTTAAAAAAAAAAAAAAATAGCACTAAAAGAAACAACTTGTGGTGTTGACATTAAAAATGTGCTTGATAGAGCCTTAACAAATCCTCATTTTCCACCGGATAAACTTGTCAATTTTGCAAAGGGTGGAGTATCTACAATGGTGGGAAAAAATGCAGGACTAATTGCATTCATGAAAAGTGATCCTAACTTTCCTGGGTTTCTCCCTAATCATGACATTATTCATCATGAATGCCTTGCAGCCAAGTATGAAAATGTAATGAAAATTGTCCTTGAAATTGTTAATTTCATCAAACTCAAATGAGAAAACCCACCGCTACAATCAAGTTATGGAAGCAAGTTCCAGAAACAAAATATTCTGAACTCAAGACAAGAAAACTAGTGCGCAATTCATCTCAATTTTCTGCATGACATACTGTTAGTGAATAACTGTACTCCACATTGATGTTTGTAAAGACATACAGACGGAATTTCAAAGACTGACGGCCAAGATGGAGACCCACAAGACCTCTAGTACCGTAGCAGTAAACAGCCTGATAACTAAAACAATATCTTGTAATATTATATAATGTTATAATAAAACTGTCTTTCTGTAAGGTGGTATTGTAGTGGAGGCCTCCCCTACAAACGCCGTGTGTCGCTGACTGGCCGACCCCCAGCGAATCTGCTGGCGTATCCCTTGTGGTCAAGGTCAGGTAATCAGCGACGCCAAACAAAGCGGGGGGCCTTCCATCAAGCCACGCCTACCGCGGTTATCTAAGACCTCACCTGGCCTTCATCGCCCTCTTTCTACTTACCGCCACCAACAAGCAACATCCCTCAACAGCTCCATACATACGCTCCCTCAAAGCTCCTCGCCCTACAGGAACTCTGAGCAAGCTTCGCCCGACTTAGTATCTCTTTAACACTGTGCTGTGCAACAATATATACAGTATACGAGAAACACTGATTTTCTATTTCTACCTCAATCCTGAGTGTTGGATATATTTCATGTACGTACGTTGTGAGGCCAAGTAAGAGGCCCTGACAACCTGCCACGACAGTATGCTACAGTATCTGAATAAAATATATCCAATTTTATTAGTCGTTTCTTTTTTACAGATACAGCACTCTTTTCTGTTTAGGCCAAATATTTACCAGACAAATAAAAATGCTTATGTCTTGCAGTTGTCAAACATGAGATCATCATACAGTATGTGGCTCTTAGGTTAATCAAGTCTGGCCACTCCTATACTAGAGTAAAAAAAAATATTAGAAGGTTAATACAGTATTTACTACACTACCTCAACTTTAGAATGGCCTAATTTGAATTCTACAATCCAGACTAAACTCATAAGACTCACCTATCCTTCAGGTCAAAGTGGCTGTAAACAATGTTTCGCAGCTTGGCAGTACAAAATGGTGGATCAATTAAGTTGTCATCTTCATCAAAGAGAATCTTAACAGCTCGGGCAGCAATCCAATAAGCTGGGGATTAATTTATAATTTACTTTTAGAAATTCTAAATTTCACAGAGCATCATCATGCAGTTTGAATATGCAAATATTCAAATAAACAGAGAATGTTCATTGGTCATTGTCAAAGGAAACTTCACTCAGAAATATAAGATTTTGTATATTCAAATCTGGAAGTTCTTGCTTACCTCCTCCTTCATCACCCAACATGTGTCCCCAGCCACCACAGCGGAAGGTCTTGCCATCCGGGTTGAGAAGAAGAGCGTTACTTCCAGTCCCACTGATCAACACAATTCCGCCTTACAAGTGAAGAGAAAATTTGTTTAATATGAAAGAGCTTTAATCGGCTATAATATGAACTTGATAGTTCTTATTATTTATGTTCAGTACAGCATAATGATTACTATTTTACATTTGGATTAATTTAGGTTTTATTATTATTAAACATAGAGGCAACTTACAGCAGGCAAACAACAAAGATTATTTCCATGTACACCCACTAAAAAATTATTCGGCACCCGTGTCATATTGTATCACGCCGAAAGGGTGACGAATAATTTTTTAGTGGGTGTACAGTACATACAGTCAGGCAACATGAACAACCTAAAGCAGTCTTCCGGGACCTTAAATTACTTGTTTCTTTTTAAAGTTCAGTAACATCAACTGAAAAGGCTTTGTACACAAATGCTAATGTGCAAATGGTGGATTCAATACCATTATGGCAGGCCGTGGCAATAGATCCCTGTGTGTCTGATGCAACAACAACATGTTTTGTCAAGTTAGGATACTGTTCCAGGATTTCCTTTTCCATCTGTCGGTTGGCCTCGTCCTCCTCACACCCACTCAAGCATAGACCCTGGAAGTGAGAAAAACAACTTACAACATATGAATACCTTTGTAGTTAGCAGATTTATTTTATAGTTTTCAGGTGTGTGATCTGTCAGCTCATAATTCTTATACACAGTGTGCTCTTGAAGATATTGACAGAAAATATAAGAACTGGAAAAAGAGAAGCCCCAACATATTTAGGGGGTGGTTTCCTATCTTACAAGAAACGCCCCCCCCCCCATGCTTTTAACTATTCAGTAGAGTAAATGAGTGGATGCGGTGCTCGCCTCCTGTCCTAAATATCGGTGGTTTGTGCCCGGAGGAACCCAATATTTCAGTTGTGAATAGGTACCTAATTTTACAGTTAGGCAAGTCATGGCAGTCAAGTGCAGTGCCAACCACAATGCCCAATGTACCTTGAAAAAAGGCTCAAGTCTTCAGTGTGCTGTATTTGCATTGCTATTAAAAGGCTTAAAGGATTATGGTATTGCACAGTTATTTACTTAATTTATTTAAAATACACTGTGAAAAATACAGTCAAGTACAGTATTATGTAAAACATAATGCAGTCTTTGCGATATGGTGTACAGGAAGACTGCCTAGCATCTCGTGTCAAAATTCTGACAGTGTGTTGTCTTTGCATCTCGTCTGTATTTCACATTTAGTAAACAAAAAATTACATTAATAAGCCCAGTTACATCACACATCCATTATCCGCTATCGGAGTACGACTTAAAATGGTGTAATCATCTAACTTAGGTCAATTAATTCTGGTTAAGTAAACACGTGTGATAAGATTGATGTTGGTGTGACAATCGGACTGAGTGAGTTCGCATTACACCAAAAATTTAATTTTTGTTGAAGGTTTTAATCCTCTACAATCTACATCTTGGGAGATTAAGAAACGAGGACGACAACTGTCTGATTTCAGGATTAACTGGATAGTAAAATAATGCTCAACTTACATTCAATCATCTAAAAATAACCGAACTAAGTACTTTTTATGTTTTCACCGAAAAATGATGAATAAGGAGATGGCATTTTAAATAAAGTACACAAAGTACCAATTGTACCTATATTCTCCCAAAACTTTAGAGAAATTGATCTTGTATTCTGTGTTTGAAGACCTTTGCTGTTCAAGTACATTAGTATATTATAACATATAATTAACTTTTCATCTATGAAGTTATGCCCAAGCTGTAAATCTTACTTATAGGTTGTACATTTTTGCCCTCCATGCACAAGATGTGGGCAGGGATTGTCATGAATCATTATACAGAATTTTGTTGTTTCCACCCGAGAACACAACCAGGTTTTTTGTTGTTCGTGTTATGATAGTTGTTGGTTCTACTGTCTTTCATGAGTTTCTTTAATTCTATTGTTTGATGATGATTATACAGTTGCCGACAAGAAAAAAAACTGTACTTTCCTCTCGACACGTCTGGTAGCACTATTGTACTCATACAGACATTCACATTGTGTCATAATGTTTCAGTCTCCTATCCTGTGTTCTATAAACTTTCCGATCAGTGGCGAAGAGGAAAAAAGTAACGAGCCGATGAGTGGTGAAGAGGATAAAAGTAAAAGACGGGGAAGCAACTCACTCTTGAAGATCGTGACGAGCGATCGCCCAAGCAGCTAACGAACCGATCAGTGGTGAAAATTTGGGACACGATAAGAATCGGCTTAAACACTCAGGGCAGCTCGTCCAAAGAGCAATTCCGAATGTCTAGTTAGGTTTCAGTAGCCTGACAAATGGATTCGTCAAACTCCATTAGCAGCTTGTACCTTCAGGTTACCATTTAGTAACTGTACTGCCACAACTCGGGAGGGTTGGTTGGCCTGGGCAAGATAAAAAAACAAATCCGCTTGATCTGTGGCGCCAAATTTGAATACTGAAGTGCGAGTGGTGGTTGTAAAGCTTCTTTTTCAAGGGAGAAGGCAACTTGCTTAACTAAAACTCAAAAGAGAGCACTAAGAGACATGATAAAAGAGCACAAAACTCTACTGACCTGTACTGCTTTTTCCTCTTGACGGAGAATATAAAATCACAGTACAGTACTGTATTGTATTTTTTCTATCGTTTTTTATGCTTTACTTTTTACTTACTTTTATCCCCTTCACCATTGATCGGCTCGTTAGCCACTTGGGTCATCGGTCACGTCTCTGCTACGCACTGTTGGCAAGTACTGTACTGGGTATGCACAGGCTCCTGAATTTATCTGAACCTGCTCCAGTGCTTGTCAAGTCTGGTCTAGAAAGAGCTCCCACTCGGTGCCATCACAACACTCAGATTATTTCAAGAGTTCACAACTCTCACTCCAAAAAATTTACCCCTCACACTTTTCTGGGCTTGCGGCTTCTTCATCCTTGAGCTGTGACACCTTGTGTGGCAAGCGTCCGCCAGCTCCAGGTAAAGGCACTCGACTGAGTAGTGCCCTTTGAGATGCCTATACACCTCAATTAGGTCTCCCCTTGCCCGTCTGTAGTATAAGCTACGCAAATTCAGGCGCTCCAATCTCTCAGGGTAGCTAAGGTGCCATAGTGCAGGCACCAGTCTGGTGGCCCTCCTTTGGACATTTTCAATCAACTGACAGTCTGGGGTGACTACTCCAGATGGGGAAGCACTTCACTTTTGAAGATCGTTACAAGGGACGGACCTTCTAGATATCTGAACGACCTTCTTACAAGACCTAATAATTTAGTTGCCCGATTTACCTTCTCGCAACGGCCAGAGAACTTCAGCTCATTGTCAACACACACACACACACCTAGTTCCTTCTCATTGTCTCAAATAGTGCAGTTTCTTCATCCTGTTGGGACATATGATACGCCTTCTTACCGTTGGTACGTCCCAGGTGCATCCTTTTACACTTTGTGACATTGAATCTTTGCAGCCATTTCTTCGACCATTCCTCACAAAGATCCTTCTACAGCTCTTCAGTCTGCTTGGTTCTTAATTTCCAAAAATATCTTGGCATCTCCACAAACATTTGTATGGAGGAATGTACATAGTCAGGCATGTCATTTATGAAGCAAACAAACAACATCGGGCCCAATACACTACCCAATGTATTCCTAAAACAAATGAAATCAGTTCACTAACAAAAAATCCTACTTAACTATACAGTAAATTATGACCCAACTACTGGAATTTAGCACCTATCACATTAAGAATTGAATGAAGTATAAACTTAGCACATTACCTTAAGGTATCATGGGTTTTGTATAGTGAGAAAGTGGTGTATGAATATAATTTTTGTATTTGTGAATATTGGCAGAGGAAATGCTCATGTAGTGTGCTACCTGTATGTACAATATTAAGAATCAAGACAAAATTGGCAGTATAGTACAGGTACAATACTGTAGAATTAATATGCCTGCCCCTTGCTTTATGAAATTATCAGGAATATTGCCAGTTAATTATATTACAGTATGTTATTTTAGTTTGCAAAATAAACATTATTTTGAATTAAGAACATTTTTACAGTACTCTAAAGTATTATAATTTATTTATTGTTCAATGTTTTACTATATGATGAGCTATCAATTTAAATTTATCTTAGTAAGGTTGGGCTTAAAACTACTTAGTAATTCTTCCATCAAAATTGTAATTCTTGGTCTTTTTAAATAAAATTCAAGTATAATTTAGTGTTTTGTCTTTTCCTGCTTAATATATATTGGTCATTTTTCATGGTTTCGCATTTGTATTTAAATTTTATATTTTTATGGCTTCATAAATCAGTAGTGTCTTATCATTAATCAATTATGACCATTTTCTTACCCGGATTATAAGTACCCGGTAAGGTTTGAACACTTCCTCTAAAAAATATTTTATGTAACCTCCCCTTACCTAACACTGGTAGTACCTACTGTAAGCACAACCAGAATAATGACACAAACAGTGATATATACCGGTAGTAAGAAAACAAAAATAATTCAAGGTAATTATCAGCATCGGTCTCACTTGTAAACTATTACCACAACAATCTACCAAATACATTTTGTATCATCTTGGATCTTTCCTATATAATATTTTGGAGAACTGGAAGTGACATTACATCTATCTATCACAAAAATGTGTGTTCTTTATCAGACTCATCACGTTAAACTCGAATTATAACATTCGAGTTTAAGGTGATGAGTCTGATTAACCTTTAAACGCTCAGAAGTCATAATGCGTCAGACTTCCTGGTACAGTAAGTTTAATGACATGTTCGAGGCTATAGAACATACAGTGCTCATTATTACCCAAGGCTCGTTAACCACCCGACTAGTGCCAGCTGCGCCTAACGCCCGATAACATTCCACGACTGTATCAGTAACTAATGCGCTTAGATTGACGGCAGCCAATTAAAAAAATCAAGATACGCGTTCAGGTTCACGGTCAAGGCTGTGATAAGCGCAGGCCCCTCTCTCACCACTGCCATTCATATTTCCGTTTTTTTTTTTTTGCCGTATTTTTTTCCTCCTTTCTTCATCCCCCTCCCACCGTCCCACGTTTTCTCATGTGATCCAGAATCTATTGAAGAGAAGTGGTACTGGAGCTGACTAGTGATCCAGAAACCTGCAACTCTAACTTATATTAAATATTAATATGCTCTGGTTATTTTGCATAAACTAATCCTAGTCTAATGAACAAAACTTAGTATATGTACGAATTCTATATCAAACAACAAATTCATTAAACACCTCTCCAACACAACACACTGCTAGTTACCATTCTCAAGTACACATTCTTTTCTTTCTTTTTGTATTTTTAATATATTTTCAAGTAGTATTATCAATGAATTTTTCAAGTGGTGTCATCAGGCGATACTCCAAGATGGCAATGGACGGAAAAACCAGCTTTTATTATCTGACCTTCAAATTATCCAACGATGTTAAAATCCATTAGTTAAGAAAACTATAGGCTACTCGCTCCTGGGTGTACAAATACAGACACACACTCAAAATGACAACATGACTCCTACAAGATGACAGAAAATAAATACTAGAAGTTTACTAGGCTTCAATTCCAGCCCTGGT